TTTTTTTTTAAGTAAATCGAACCACTGCGCATCAGATGAGAGCAACACCTAGAAATTTTTCAAATGGCGTTTGGTCAAGCTATGCATAACGCGGTGAGTATTGTTGGTCTCTTGTACGCTACGGATTCATACCTGATAACAACGCTTTTATTCAGGAAAGCTCTTTCGCACACAAGGAAAAATGCTACAAGCAAAATGGCTGTTGATGATTATGACTATATTTCAAGTCAGGTATCCTGTAATCTGATACCCAGATATTGTTCCTCCTTCGCAAGCTTTATTTGATTTAAGAGAGCGCAAAGCGCCATCTATCACACCAGAATCCCCCACTGCCTAAACCGCATAGCTGCTATTAGTTGGAACTGTTACGGATCTCAGTTCAATAGCACAATCACTAACTGACCGCTAAATGGCTGACCACTCTGTCGGCTATAAAGTAGATGTGGTCTACTTGTCATTGAATAAACTAAACATGATGGTTTCGTCCGTCCGACCAAAAACACAGCCAACCATGGACAGCCGTTTCGTGCTGCTTAGCTACTCATCAACATGGTCTGAGCTTGTCTAGAAACAAGACACTAAGCCTAGACCACGCTGATGAGAAGCACGACACACCTTTCCATGTTTGGCTATGTTTTTGTTCGGGCGGACGAAAGCATCATGTTTACTTTATTTGATTTCCGAAGAAAGTACTTTAGTGATGTCCACATTCCTTTTCTTTTCCTCTTAGCAGGATTACAATGTCGTCGGCAAACTTATCTTACTTTAATACTAATATGAGAACTCATTTTTCTTTGCAAAAAGTAACTACTCTATCAAAAGCAGAAAAGTGAGCAGGCGGTAACTAATTACGGGACTGTATTAAATGTTACCAAAATTTTGTCTTCCTACCTTTTCTAGTAGTTTAAAATGGATACCAGAATACTTTTTTGAGAATGGGAAATTGATTTCAATGAGGTTTTTTGGAGGTAATGGAGTTTGATCAGCAAAAAAATGCATGCAAGTATAGTATCAGAGAACTTATAGGAAAATAAAACATCAATATTTCTGTACCTTTTTTTAGCTACTTTGTTATAAATACGCCTAAAGAATAAAAACTTTCCTGCGGGCGTCCATTCAGGCCATTTATTACATACGATATTGAATTCATATACATAGTTATAGTAGAGGAAACATTCTCAGGATATCTAGAGTGGTCCTACTATGTTGGCTTTCCCTTAAGAAATTGCCTCGTACCTACGTCTATGTCAGTGGCAGCATTACCGGCTTTTGGAAAACTCGAATAATCGATTGAAAAATCCGATACTATTCCTTTAAACGTATTAGGTACCTTATGGAGCAATGGATTAACGTTTTCACTGAAAGTATAAAGATGTAGTAGAGATTATAAATTACATAGTTAATTATTAATTCAAATGTTAATGGACCCAAAAAATTTACCGTTTGAGTTGCACAGTTCTTCACAGGTCGGGACGCTATACTACTTTACTACTAGTAGTAGTACCCAAGCATGAACCAAGAAATAAGATCGAGGGCTCTACGTCTAAATTTGGTGTCATAATATCTAAAGAAAGCAAGGCATAGCCCCTCTTGAACTAAGAAGAGAAACACTGTGGTAATCATATGATAAACGGTTCACATGATTTTCTTTTCGATTAGGTAAAACTGGAGAAAAGTATGGTATATCTGAAGTCACTTGAAATAGCATAAAAACCTTTGGTCGGCGCGTCCTTTGTAATTTCATGACGTATCATAGGCGTGCGGTGATTTATTTAGAACGATAATAATAATGTTTTTATATCACAATAAATGGATTTTACTATCTTCTTATTTTTTTGATTTGGGATAAAAAATACTTATATTGGGAGTTTAATTTATGTTGACTGAAAGTTAAGAAATGGAAAAATTACAGAATTCCAACGTTTGACATAGGCAAATATTTACATAGCAGGTAGGTATATAAAAAGGTATATAAAGACTTACATTATAGGTATTTATATATCATCCTCGCCTTCGGAGCTGTCGCTAGAGTCATCTTGTAGAGGAATTACAACGGGATTTACAGGAGACAAAACACAATATTCATTTTCTTTTTCAATAATATGCTTAGAACACGGCTTCCATAGGTCTGTGGCAGCAATATGAGATACTGCATCTCTTATTGTGGCCAATAGCGATTCACTTAATTGAGGGGTCTGATTATGTTTTCTAACTTTTTTTTAAAGCAGCCCAGACCAACTCAATCGGGTTAAAAATGCAGTAATAGGGAGGTAGACGTAATACTTCATGGCCATTTTGCTGAAGCAGATTGTCAACAACATACTCTTTTTCAAATTTTTGTCTTTTAATAAGATCCAATAATATGGCTTTGGTTGATTTTTGTGGTATTTCCATTCCCTTATCCTTCATAAAATCAATAATATCTTGTTTTTTTGTGCCTGTATTCGGAATGTTGTTTTTCTGTCGGGAATGGTATGGCGCATTGTCCATAATAATCACTGAATTTGGGGAAATGTTTGGTATTAACTGCTGCTCTATCCACTTTTCAAATAAGTCGGAGGTCATGTCCTCATGATAGTCGGCACATGATTCTTTGATATTTTTGGCAGATAACAGCAAGGCATTAGGTATAAATCCATTTTCACTGCCAGCATGGAGAATAATGATTCGTTTTCCACGGTTGCATGGTGCATTTAAAATGCACTTGTTGCTGTCGTCAACCCAGCCGTACTGCACAACATCATGGGTATCATACCACGTTTTATCCAGGTAAATCAGATTTCTTTTCTGCTCTCTATAGATTTTAACTTTGTGCAAAAATTCTTGGCGCAATTCAACGATTCGAGACGACTCCATAATCACCATTCTTTTATCTAATTTTTTGTATTGAAAACCACACAGTTTTACAATACAGTGCAGTGAGTCTAAGCATTTGTAATTATAAAAATCTTCAGGATAATCTTTTAATTTATCCCGTATCATTTCCAACGTGGGCACCAAATTATCTTTATAAAATCCGTATATTATACGACGAATATCTTCCTGAAAACCCACGTCTATTCGTTTTAATTTTTGCCCTATGCGCTTTCTGTGGAAGGAATGGTTGACTACATCTCCCCTTTTTATAACCCGATAAATGGTAGACCGACTGATTTTTGTCAGGATACAAATTCTGTTTAAAATTTTGCGAGGAATCTGGATTTTCGTTTTTCAAACAATCATACATATTTAGGATTACTCTTTGGGTCTGTTCCTCTAAATCTTTATGAAAGAATTCTGCCTGCACAGGTTCATCAACCATCTCCTCGTGGCTTGGAGCATTTTCCCAAGGTCTCCAAAGAGCCATATTTAGGACACACAAGAACAATCAACACAACTATTAAATCAACAAGTAAACTGAGTATTCAAAAGTCAAAAACACACAAACTAATAAAATCTATGAAAAAATATGGACAGACTAAAGGAAACACGTTTATTCACCGCTACATGGCACTGGCTAAACTGTTTCAATTTTCAGTAGCCACCTGCACTTTTTCGGAGCTCTGAAATACACGCTTTCTCATTGGCTATGTCCACGCATAGGCGTGCTTTACTCCACGTAGACCGGTGAAACTGCCTTTGATCTTATACGGGGGATATTTGCTGCGAAATTTGGCGATTTTTGCAGCAACAGCGTGTTAAATATAGATATATAAAACGCACCCGGTATTTCACAGTGTTTCAAGTGACTTCAGATAAAGTATACGTGAAATATACGAATCATAGCATAATCTTCTATAAACTAGTAATATATAATTCTGGTAATAGATGGTACTTTATGCTGTCTAATTTTGAGAGTCTAATGTTTTTTAATCAGCTTAAACAAGTTTGGTATTTTCTGTGGACTTGTGAACACCTGCAAGGGATACTGATCAGGAATCCAGGTTTCGGTGATAATGTTACAGAAATAAAATTACTACTGCTAGTCTGAGAAACCTCCGTTACTGACTCAATTCTTTCAATGAGAAGTAGTCTTTCTCACTCTAGATAAATAACAAATAACGATAATAGGTACAGATTGACTTACTGTACCATTTTCGGAGCGCAACTGCCCTAAAGGACACTCTGCGTAAGCCGATCCTTGACGTAGCTGTACTTGTACACATCACAGATGGTAGAGGACTGACCATTCCCTTTCTGAAAATAATACAAAACTACCGACATTGTGGTTGAATTTGAAGGCATTGCTAAGTTTTATATAGGAGATCAACAAAAGATGATAAATTGCACACTCATGACATATGGGGGCCGCTTGCGTATATATGAAATGAAATTGTTTTCTGAACGCGATATTTTGATACTATTGGGAAATAATGAATTTGGAGTATAGCTCCTCATATAGATATCTTTCTTAAATACCCCAATAATCGGCATAATGTTGTAAAACGGTTATCAGACAACAACCAACCAGCATTTGCAACTTACTACCCATTAAGTGGACCAGAGCTAGGGCAGATGCCCCCTTTCCCCCTAGGTACGCCCTTCATCAAATCTCATTTAGGCCTCGTCAAAATAAACGCCAGTGCGCGACGTTCAAATTTGCGCGCTCTTATGGGCCAACTGGGCAGGCAGCGACAAGCGACACGGAGTCAATGAGGTTTACATAGACTAGGTATGTGAATGTACAATTCCTTCACACATGGAATCACTACACTAATACCTAATGGAACTGGTCTATAACTTAGCACTCCGGCCTTGCTTGAAGTTGGCCACGAAGGTGCTTAACCAGGTACCACACGGCGCATGCTCAGGTGCTAAACCACCTGTGCGAACACATTTGCGTTAGAGCACCAAAAGTCATTGACCATAGTTGAAATATGTTGCATTTTTACAGTGGTTTTGTGCCAACAAAAATCATGTCCGCAACAAACGGCCGTTTTGCTACAGCTTGTGATGCATAAAAACAGCATGTCACCGGGTGCCGGCAGTATTTTGTTTCACGGTCTACTCAGCCATTCGAGATGAGTGTCAACGTTGCCGAAGAGAAAAGCAACAGGAAAATGCATGAACTTTTCATGCAAGTACTGAAAAACAGAGATCTATCCAGAGCCGGCGATCTTTTCTCGGTACCGGATTCAGTTATCGTCAATGATTTGACGGATGTGGTGAGATGCATATCCTTTATTTTTAACGTACAAATTTGCATCAATCCTTGCTATCAACATCGATATCGACATTTATCGATTATCAACTGAGCTTAATCTTTCTTAAAATATGTTAACTATATCAAAAGCAGGTCCGAATGCACATAGGCGGAGATGAACTTTTTTAGATGATTGTAGGATGGAGTTGATCATGATGTTATGAATACCTAGCTAGTTGAAGTTTTACAATGGTATTAGGGGAACAATAAGTTGAGTTAATTAGCAATAAGCAAAAACTTTTTTTAAAAATTAGACAAGTATCAAAAAACGTGTATAAGTTTTAAGAAAGTTTTATCCAATGACAGCAAGTCAAGGATCTAACAAGTTTTGGAGTCTCCTTAAATCAAAATTTAATGTACTGCAGAATTAGCTTATGTTCAAAAATCTAGTTTTACAGGATGGTTTTATTTTGTTTCCCAATGACTTAAAAAAGTTGTATTGTTAAATAAATGGTTTTACAACTTGGATTGAAAATTATGGACTAAGGATACTTACATCTTTGAAAGTATCCTATTTATTTACAGGTATCATAAAGTTAGACTATCATACTTGCATCTTTTCACGGAAAAAACTACCAAATTGTAGAATGAGCTTATGTCACAATAGGTTACACTAAAAAATGTGTAACAAAGCATAGTTTTCAAAAATACCATCAGGTAAAAGTGAGTTCATACTTCTTGTGCAGTGATAATAATATAATAATACCTACCAGATGAAATTTTGTATACCCACTACAATCCACAATAAAACATAGTATCTGGTAGGGGAAAACCTCATTGTCCTATATTTTATATATTTTTGATATATTTATTAGCAGCAACAATAAAACAAATTAAATATTTACATTCCCTCAATAGTAATGTTGGTCTTGAGTCAGTATATTTCTAAGATTCTCCTTTAGTAGCTCTGTCTCCAATAAACCTTTTTCATTATTTGGTATGATATCTCAACATATATTATGCCAGCCTTAATAAGGAGGACTTTCATCAATGCTCAACTGTATATTATTACAATGTGTTCATAAATCTCAAATATTTCTTTTTTTCAGCTGAAAGAAATTACAGCAATCACATCCTTGCCAGACTATGTCAATAATGATAATGACCAAAGTGTTGTGGAAATATATGTCACTAGGGTGACATCATGTATTAGAGAAACAGGAAGTGTGGAACAACATTGTGATGCTTTGGTCACTCTCTTGGAATCCTGTTTACACCATAACCTAAAAGTATCTCCGAAGGATGAGGATCCACCTCATGCTAAGATCTCCAGTGATATTATTTCTTGTATATTTTTGGTAAGAAAAATTAAAATATGTCCAGACTCAATCTGGTAGAAAAAACCTTGGTTGACATCAATGTTTAGATTTGGCAGACAAGCTGTCTCTATCTAGTAACAAGAACTCTCACTTGTCATTGGTAGATGACAATATTCTAACGCAGCTTCTATTTCAGAATTATGGTAAGAAATCTGTAATGCAGAGAGCACTACCTGTTGCTGTAAAATTTTTACACAAAGGTAACAAAGAGCTTTCTCGTAATATGGCATCCTATCTCTCACTAGCAGCTATGGAACATGCATCACTATTAACACCTCATGTGCAGCCAATCATGGACTCTATCATTTCTGGTAAAGTTTCATCATTTGTTTTCTCTAATAGTTCTTTTGAATGATTTTTTTTTTTAGGTAATTATCCTCTATGTAGGGTATTGCCAAATATATATGAAGTATCTCCAGAGCCTTTTCAAGGACATGCTATGGCTCTAGTGTCACTACTACCTCACTGTGATAACCAAGAAAAGTTGGCATTATTGCATTTGTTTGCACTTATGGCTAAGGATCATCCTTTGGTTTGTATACCTAAATCAGGCATTTGTAAAAATCAATTTTCTAATATCAAACTATATAAAAAAATACTTAGTTGTAATAATGAGAAATTGAACCTTTTCCACTATATATGAAAAAATATTCTATATAATTTAATATCGGCATAAACGGTCAGTTTTTGTGTCAATATCAAGTTCAACTAAGATAGTACATTAAGCTTTGTCTAACAATATATAAACACTCAAACCTAATTGATTGAAAAACTTAACAATGTCAAATGTTTTTCTTACATTTCCAGCAACATAAGTAGTAATAATATTCTTCAAAAGCTAAGTAAAAACATTGCAAAGGATTTTATAATGGAGAATTATAATAGTACTTGGTTGTGAAGAAAACTTACAGTGTCAGAATGAGCAGTTCCAATGAAAGGTTTCATATATGTTACTTGAACATCTTTGTAATTATATTGTATAGGCAATATAGTTGACCATGCAATTTTAATATTTTACAAATGTTACAATGTGCTTGTGTGCCACCAAATGTTATTAGTTTAATTTTTTAGCTACTGGAAGCCAGTGTTCCCCAGTTATGTGAATACTTAAGCAGTGCTACAACTGCAGCTGCTACACTTCAGATATTCCTACATATGGCTGAAAAGATGCCTAATCTATTAGCAGATCATGTAAATGCCATGAAACAATCTGCCCAAAGGCATCCGCAGACTGTTTGCTTGGCAGCCCAAATTATAAGTGCTGTTGGCAAGCTTAGTAAGGTAAGACCAAATTTGAAATTGTACTAGTAAAACGTTTTTTGTACAAGCTAAGAATATATTTGGATTACTTCAGGCAAGAGGATTAAACTAGGAGTATGTTTGACCTTTCTTTCTAGGACCGCGCTCAAGATGCTTTGAATTTCGTTCTGGAATATTTACCTAAGGCAGACAGAGGGTCCCAAAGTACTTTGTTAAGAGAAGCTACGTTACTTTGTAGCTCTTACCCAGTGCTATTCACTGACAAAGTATTGACTGGCATCAGACAAAGACATCACACAAGGTATGGCTGTCTTTTTTGTTATTTAAGTTACCTTAAACTAAAAAATACTGAAAAATATTTTTATTCACCATGGAGCACCAGATGTGCTGATTTGACTTTTCACAAATTATGCCATGTATCATTTTGTAATGCATGCTGATGGAATCTGTTCATTGCATTTTGCATACCATTTTGCTTACTTTGTGACATATGGTTTCTTCAAAGTATATGTTTTTAAGTATAGTATTGATGTAAACTCTGCTATCTGCTCTTGATGAAAACATTCAGGGGGTCAAGTTGGTCCAGGGTGACCCATGAACTGTATGCTGAATGTTTTATAAAATTGTTTGCCAAAGTGCATCTCTTATCGCGACGCCTTTCATATTTTCACCAGATTTGACTCCCATTCATTCTCAGAGAAACATTGAAAGTGAACCTGCGCTGCTTAGCGTGTTACGAAAAATGCGATGAATGAGTGCATGCAATGAAGTTAGGGACATTTGGATGTAATCATTTCCAATGACAACATATGTCCCAAGATGTATAGTATTTTTTTATTCAACTGGGAACTTCGTGTTTTTGTATCATAACATCTGAATATTTTCTAGTACAAATCAAATAGCTCCTCCTACTACCACAGCAAACGTAACATCAGGGGGAGTTACCATAGTGAAAGTAGGCGGAGCACATCCATCACAGGCTCCTCCCACTACAACAGCAGCTGTTGTAACCACGCCCACACCTGCTGTAGGTTACACAAGAAGAGCGAAACTTGGTGATTCGAGAAGTACAGGGCGACTACATACAGGCGCTAGTACTAATACCCATAGGAGCATGACACGGTAAATTATTTTTGTTTTGTAGATTAAGTATAATGTGTATATGTGTCTTTCTATTAGCACGAACAGTTCAAATAAAATCATATGGCTGAGGAACACCATAGGTGGTAGACTTAGCCACAAGAGGTTTAGATCCTAGAATGATAGATCCCCACATAGTTTATCTATATAAATATTCACAGCGCGCGCGCGCCAGAAGGCATGTGGGCGCTTCGATTGTTACCCTGCATTTATTTCAGTATACCATAGTGCCTGTTTTCACGTCAATTCTGGGTACATTTTCGAGGAAAAATATTACATTAACTGTAATTGGAATGTTTTTGCTTGGATAAATTATTGAGGATAGCTGCTTTCAAGGGATCCATTGTAAAATCTGTCAAAATAAATGTATAAAAACGTCGCAGTTCCAGAAAAAATCTTGAGACTGAAGTCTTCACAGTAGAGAATATGCATGTCTTTTTTGTATCTTCTGTCGATTATTTACGTTAATATAATACCATTAAAACATATTTCATTCATGGAGATGTCTGAATTTTTTTAATTAAATGTTTCAAAGTGCAATGCATCGCAATGCAACTCATGATTTATCATTTTATTCTGTTTGGTTAATTTGCTGTCAAGTTTTGAAAGTCAACAAGCAGTCTTTTGTTGTCTTCCAGACGTTTATGGACGGCGAAATTCTCGTGGCTGGTGGATAGCGATAAAGGATTGACTGCTCGCTTGCCGATATAGTGACTTCACGCCGTTTCGATATTTTAAATTTACCGCGTATTTTCCCCATTGTTTATTGATTAATACTCTTAATTTTATAAGGTTTACGTATAAAATAAGGTTGTAGGTGGCTTTCTTCAACAAAATAGAGTGTAAACAAATATAAATCACATACATATTCCCTATTGGCTTTCCTGACATTGATTAAACATGGCTGAGAATTTTCTGATTGGCAAGGACAACGACAAAGGTATCCTTATTTCTGTAGTAGTTTATCCTGCCACCTAGAATCCTGTGTTCCTCTTGGTATCCTTACTTCAGTATCTAACATATTATCCTCGCACTAAGCTTACCAACTGCGGCGTGGCTTCATCGTAACTGTGTTAATCTTACAAATTTATAATCATAATTGGAAGCTACTACATATTTGCTTATTTCTAGGTTAAACATAGCTGGAGGTAGTGTGGGTGGTCTACACAAAAGTATGACTCGTCTGAGCTCATCCCAGCAGATCAACGCTAATGGAGGACAACATCCTGTGGCGCCACCCGCGTCAGGAGGGGTAGTAGTGACAGGAGGCAGCAAATGGGCGGCGCCTAATCCTGGGGCGGCAAATGTTAAGGTGTCCAGTGGCGGGGTGACAGTTACAACTATTTCTCCTCCTAGGATGCAGCGACCCCTTAGTCAAGGACCGTTCACTCTTATTGCGAATCATACTAACCAGGTAGTCATGCTGAATTAATATGTACCTTATTGAATTAAAATATTCTAATAATATTTGAAAATAGATTTTTTTTATTGTTCGTTATTCGAAATTCAACTATTTTTTTTTAAATCGCATTTTTAACGATTTAAATAAAAGGGTGGGTCTAGAGCCTGGTGGTCTTCTCATCCGATTTACTCTAAGAACGAGTTTTTCTCTAGATTCCGTAGTTATAGCGAACACAGGGGTAATTTGGAGTGCTGATTTCAAACATAACATTAACATATTAATCACTGACATCAGGATAGTAATTTATGCACCTAATGGTATGTAATACTATTCAGATTGTGGGCAAGTTTTCAGGTGAATTGTTACCAACTATTACTTGGTGTGAGCATTCTCATTCAATTTTACTTCCTACGCCACCGGCGAGGAAGTATTGTAATTGCGAAAGATTTCGAAAATGGGATATTACGTTTTTTGGATGTTATATGACAGGTACATCACAAAAAAACATGTCACTCATTTCCGTCGCGCTCGGATATTGATGAAATTTTCGGACAAGGTGACTACAGTGCAAATGACGAAAAGGCTTTGTGATTTTTGAAAATCGGTCCAGTGGCGGCGGAGCTACAGGCGATGAGAAAAAATAAAAATCGCACTCAAACGTCGTGTATTGACGTTTCAGAGACTCCAGATCAGTTAATTTTTTTAGATGAAATTAGGGCTATGTAACAATTGTGGCTACCACGGCAATATGATTTATTGAGTATAAATAATGAGATAGGGCTGTAGCTGTAGGTGTGAAATAACGAATAGACAGCATCTCTACTTTTAGTACCTTTTCCTCAAGCAAATCATACCAAGGCATACGTAAGTTGTACTTGGTGTTTTAAAAATAATGAATTAAACTGACAATACTTTTTCTCCAATCATATTAATCATATCACATCAGCTGTAAGGGTGTCCATAGTCGACTAAGAGTCAACATACCAGAACTTTAGAAAGTTGATTTATCATCACTTTTTTTAGTGAATAACTCTAATCTATTGTATTATATCAGGGTTCAGATATTTTCATAGTCGGCGAACAATAAAGGCGCCATCGCATGCAGAAGTTGACTCAGATTATGCTTATACAAAGTCCACTTGTCCAGAGATTAAGCAGAGTGCCACAAGGTGCTATGTTATACCCAACACTATTCCTTATCAACATAAATGTCATGCATTTGGCTAGGATTGTGTTTTAGTTCTACTTTGCGCATCCTAGTAGTAGTAGTGATGGGGAGACGAAGCAAAGAAAGTAGGCCACCTTTGGCCCTTTTTGCCGAACCCGAGTGTCAACACTGTACTACTAGTCTGCATGTTAATTCACTAATCTGTCGAACCTTCCTGATCTCCTGATAATTAAGGTCAGGATGTCCGACTATTCCGCTGAGTAAGCAACTCCACAATCAAACTCCATGGGCTCATATATCTCAGCCCTTAGACCACAATACATAGGGCAATAGACCAGAAAGTGGAACGCTGTTTCGACCTCCTCCCAGCACTGGGGACATGTTGGATCTCCCTTCACCCTTAAAATGAATAAGTGTCTGCCTGTATGTAGTCATCTCTCTTTCGCCACGCTTTTCCTAAGTCGCTATAATCCCATTCATTCGGGAAGGTGTTGACCTGGCTCCGTATGCCCAGCCGAGGCTCTGGACCGAGCAGGTACTTCTGGGCCCCAGCCTAGCTAGGCGATCACCTTTTCCGTTGCCCGACACTCCGCTGTGTCCGGGTTGCATATCCCATGGTACTATTGTATTTATTTTAAGGTATCTGGAAGTCCCATCATGCTATCAACCCCACCACACCCAGGAGGCAACTCAGTCACAGTGAGCTCTGGATTTACTGGAGCAGGCTCCATACCCAGTGGACAAGTATCAATATTAACCAGTGGCGTGTCAAGCTCAGTGACTCAAATGATAGCAGTAGGGAATAGTATAGTTCACACCCCGCCTCCTTTGCCAGAGCCGATTGGTAGCACAAACATCACAAACTCGGGAAGTAGTAAGTATATACAGTTATTTACAAAAGGTTCAAGCTTATCCATACCTGTTTTATTTTTTTTTTGCAGATAATGTCAATATCAGTGGTCCAACCACAGTGGTTTCTCGGCGAACTAACAATACCAGTGTCACTTTGATAAATCAAAACTCTGTAGCTAATCAACGAATGAGCGTTTTTGAACCGTACCCAATGAGAGATACCATACAGCATTTTTGTGAGAAGCATTTAGATAAGATCAAAAGTTACATGGAAAACGTATCGCTAAGGATACCTTCTCCTGCCAAGTGTACGATAGAAGAAAAGAGGCAGAAGAAATCTGCAAAGTTGCATTTTGCTTGTCAGGCTAGGGGGCAGCACTGTTTGTATTCTAAGACTTATTTCACGATGAGAACGAGGAATCCTAGGATATGGATACATCTCATGTTCATCTCTCTACAGGTAGCGTAGCAGTAGATAAAAGATTACAATAAGCTTCATACTAGCAGCATCATATAAATCATTTACAAAGACACGTAAGATATGACATTTGGGCGCCCGACACTCTGGAGCAAAAATTCATGAAGCTTCCTTCAACCTACTCTCTGAGTATATCTGTAGTTCTGAATGCGGCTCCCATTTTCACTATATCAGGAGTATTAGCGGCTCATGAATTTAAGTAAGAAAAAAGAGTTTAAAAGTGAGAAATAGTGAGTTTATACGTAATAAGAGAAATTCAATATAATGCTCGATAAAATGGTTAATATAAAAATAAATTGGGAAAAAACGATATAGTCGCCCATGCTTGTGTGGACGAATCAAAACCACACATGTTTAAAATTCCTTTATTATACGACACGGTGTCATCTTAAATTGCAATCTCAGCATGTCACAGGATCATTCAGACTATTGTAGCGACACTCTGTATAGGAATATGGTAGGAAAAAACAAACGAAGTGTCACCTGGCAAACAGATAAATAATTTATATTTCAAAGAGCGTCAATTGAGCTTGAAGGTCACCGTTGGGAACGAAACGTCACTCAATAAACGAATTTTAAAAATATAATCAAATCCAAGCGAATAACCAAAATTTCTGTGTTATGTGCTGCGGTTATAATATGGTTCAAGATGACACACGGGTTGATGACGTCAGTTACACGAATCGCTTGAACGCGTTGGTTTTAACAGCGGTTTTGTTGCAAGTTGTTTATTTTAGAAAAGCGCGTATATAATGTCTGATTATTTTTATTATCACTTAATAATCGGTGCTTTTTGGTCTACAACTGTATATGGAAAGTTTAAATAAGAAACCTTTCATAATATTCATGGGAGAAATGTTTTTTCAGATTTTATGATGGAACCATGGCTTTGTAGCTATGATAACTTTCAATTCTTTAAATTTTTCCGCATGTCAAAGAAAACATTTATTGATTCAGCAGAAATGATGAAAAAAGAAATGAGCAAAACCGTATACAGGTGGATATCATCTAGTGAGTTTATATGGCCATATTTTAATATTCTTGTGGTATATGGCTACACAGGATACTTTGTTAAGCATAGGAACTACATTTAAAGTGTCCCCAACAACCGTAATGAGTATAACTAATAAGGTGCTCGACTTTATGGTAAAACTGAAGTCAGCCTGTATCATTTTTCTCAAAAATGAAGCTGAAGTACAATAACAATATCCAATACCCGGCAAAATTGTCACATTTCAAATAATAACCAGAAATATAAAACTACTATTGAGTTGGGTAAATACCACAATTTTGCGGTGATAACTATGACATATAACAGCTGATTCGTGACGTCACGGATCTTATAACCAAACTGATAACTACACTCGCTTGAACGGATTGGTAAATACCAACCCAAAATGGTAAATACCATTTCCATTTGGTTATCCGCTTGAATTTGATTTATGTGTTTTTGATTCGGGAAAACCAACATGGACGATTATAAACATGAAAACCACAGGATAAGTTTCAGATGTTACAGTAATTCTTATTAGCCGGTGCACACGGACGTATTTGGAGAGAAGTTCACACTAGCCCACAATAACGCATGCAGTTCTCTCAACGCGACGCATGTTGCAAGATGAATTTTGATCATGAGCAATGTGTTTTATTTGCATATTACGTATATAAGTTTCATATTTGTAAAAAGAAAAGAAAATACTGGGTACACCCTTATGTGAGTGCCCGTGCATTGAAAGGAGCATTTGTTCGTGATTTTTCGGATCTGAGAAATGCAGAGAAGTTTTTCAATTATTTCAGAATGAGTTCCAAATTGTTTGACGAATTACACGATGTCTCCTCAACTCTTCAATCAATATTTCAGTGTCTAATATCAACGTCCTTCATTTTCAACGCACTGCTTTCCGTCGCTCGTATGCACTCAGTGATACAGGGTCCGTCAGAAAGAACGCATGTTTTTTAAATGAGTAGTACAGTCAAAATAAGTATGGGAAAAATATTATATCAAAATATACTAAGTGACATATAAATCCGAACACCCAGTTTAAATGGTTTTATTTTAGTAAAATTTTGTATAAGTACTTAATGACGCATAATAAGTAAATGATAAAAATTTCAAAATGATTGCACTGCTTTAAAGCCCTTTGACCTTTAATAATGTGTGGATGCACCCTGATGTGCTACGTATTCTCCAACGCGCCTAGGCATGCTTCTGATCAGGTGGTCAATGTCCTCCTGTGGTATCTCATTCCAGACAACCACCAACTCCTCTCGAAGTGCTTCTAGAGTCTGAGGAGGACGTTGCAAATTGAGCAATCTCCTACCCATCATATCCCACACGTGCTCAATTGGGGATAAGTCGGGAGATCTTGGTGGCCATGGTAACCATGTGACATCATTATGTTGAAAGAAGTCTATTGTGACTCTTGCAACATGTGGTCAAGCATTATCTTGTTGGAAAGTTGGATCTGCCAGGGTGTCAAGATAGGGTAAAAGATGGGGTTCTAGAACTTCGTGGATATAACCTCTGATGAAGATTAAAGGTGACCTGGAACCATAAGCTATAGCACCCCAAACCATAACTCCAACAGTGTGATGAACATGTCTTTCAACAAAAAACTGTGGATTCCTCCTTTCACCACGTCGCCTTCTAACCCTGGCACGACCATCGTGCATGCCTAAACAAAATCGAGACTCGTCACTAAAGACAATACTGTTCCATTCCTGATCCCAGAGTGACCGTTGTCTGCACCACTCAAGGCGATTACGTCGGTGTTCTCGAGTTAAAGGGAGGATCCAGTGTGGCCGGTATGAAAACAAGCCAAAACTTCTCATTCGTCGGTAAACACTTCGCATGCCAATAGGTCTTCCGTGTTCTGCAAACCATTCATTTGCAATGGACCTGGTAGTGGAGAAACGGTCCCTTAAGGCCAGTAATCTTAGGCGGCGATCTTCACGGTCTGTTGTTCTACGGCGGCGTCCAGTGCCCCTTGCTCTTTGCGTACGGTCTTCTCGAAGCCATGCCTGACAACACCTAACCACAGTGTCTACACTTCTTTGCACTCTAACTACAATTGCCCGAAAAGAAAGTCCAGCTTCCCGAAGTTCCACTATACGGCCCCTATCAAACTCACTAAGTTGACGAAATCGTACAGGTCTCCGTACTCTAGGCATCGTAACCGATCGTAAAGGATGTCAAGAACCAAAATCCGCCAACGTTGATTCTTTAATGCGGCTGAAATATTCATTTTTAGAGCGTTAGTGAATTAAAAAAAGCTGTATAAAAACCGGAATGTCCAACTGATAAGGCTGAAAATTTTTTCACTTGTTATTTACAGTAAGGTAAATACATTCACCAACTTTTATTAAAATAAAACCATTTAAACTGGCTGTCCGGATTTATATGTCACTTAGTATACTCAGAAATACATGCCATTTTTTGAGTAAAACATAATTTACGTTTTAAAAACTATGTGGCCCATATGGCGCCCTCGAGCCGGAATGCAGGAATCAAGCTCTCCGAAATGAGCGCATAGGGTCGGCCAGCATCCGTGCAGGAATTTCGGTTACTTCCCTACGTCCTGCGAATTTTTGCCGAAGAAGTTCCATCGAAGTGCGAGTTGTGTGAAATGTTGCCCCGTCTTGTTGGACCACACTGTTCTGAGACGGACTCGTCGACGTCGAAGTACCGGAAAAAAAGTTGTTCAGCATGTGGATATAACGCTCTGAATTCACAGTTGTTTCTCCATCATCCTCAAAAAGATAAGGGCCAATAATCATCGTTGGGCCAACTGCACACCAAACTGTAACTTTTGGGGTATGCAGGGGGTGCTCATGCAACTGTTGGGGTTTCACTGGAGACCAATATCGACAATTTTGCTTATTGACGTATCCATATAAATGAAAATGTGCTTCTTCACTCATAAACAACGTCAGGTCATTGTTATCCAACTGTTCAATCATGAGCTGTGCAAAAATAACACGTTGTGCATAATCCCCTGGCAACAGTTGTTGACAAACTTGGATTTTGTAAAGATGGAACACTAAATCCTTCTTCAAGATGCGACGTACAGAGGACGCGTGAATCCCTAAGGAACTGGCACGCAAACGGACGGAAAGTACCGACGCACAGTGAACACACGATGCTCAACGTTCCAAACCATCTTGCCAACTGAAACGGCACTTTTCCCACTATCCAACACGCCCTTCCCCACCTACATGGGACCAGCCCACTCGATGTAGTACCCATTCGAAGAACATGCGTTCTTTCTGATGGACCCTGTATAATCTAATGTAGCGGTAACACCTCACGTCGGGTTGTCAACGTGCGTTACCGTCGAACGTTGGACGTCGACGTCCCGGGTGAATTGATCCATTTACGGCAATCTATTTCCGAAGCGTGCGTTGCCGCACCGTCCGTGTGGACTGCCTGTAATACTTATAAGAACTTTCTTTGACACTGTTTTATTGACAAAAACAAAAAGAAGTATTTATATGTATGCAAATTTTACAATCAATGCATATGATGCATAAGAGAAACCAAAATATAACAAATTCCTGTAAATACAGAAGACGTACTGAGTACTGTTGCTCAATTGATTGAACCTACATTTCAGCCAACTATTTAATGATACAAAGCTGAAATTTGGTATGGTTATTGTTATAGATGAGTATTTTTTTACACAAGCTCCATGTCATAAATAATATTGCATTGTCATATTAGACATGCACCATATTTGATTTAGAATGACGTCACTTTGCTTATTGTGTTTGTCATCAAGTGCTTTCATTCCATACCCATCCTGTAGGGTGACTATGCATATTCGACATTTTGTGGGGCCCGCAATATAGGTTTTTAACGGCGTCACGTTTATTGTTTTGCTATTATCGAACCTTTTCATTTGACCCTCAGGAAACTATGGATATTGGATCTAGGATGACGGCAGTTCCCTCATTATGTTTCTCAGATCAATCCCTTTCTTTTTTGATACCCATATCATATAGGAGTGAGTATAGAAATTATAAATCGCCATTTTGCCACCGCCGCCATATTTGATTTAGAATCACGTCACTTTGCTTGTTGTGTTTCTTATCTAGCCCTTTCATGTAATATGTATATCACAGAGGTTACTATATGGAATGATAAATTGCCATTTTCCAGTTAATCCATTGATTGTCACTCAAACTCAAATCAGGAGTGCATACAAAATGTCAGCTCAGTTAGTTGAGATTAACTGGTTACAATTCAGTTTTTCAATCTCTCTTTGGAAATACATACTCTGAACTGCCGAACTATCTAAGTACCAATTTCGTAGTTACCTAAGTGCCTTTGTATAGTATTTTGCTTACTTTTTCCGAAATATCAATGGTGAGGGTCGAATTTGAAATACCCGGTACATGTGTAGTGCTTTTAGCAAAGTTAAAATTAAACTAATTTGACTAATCTAATTTCTCGTGAAATACATATTGATTTAGCTTCAGAAGAAGCCTGTACATGAACAACTTCGTCCTATTCAATTTTGATAAAAAAAATTTCACTTCGTTTAATTTGTCTAACATTGAGAGAGAGGGGGCGGATGTTCCGAAAGGTTCATAAACTACAATATTTACAATAAGGGCGCAAATTTTGAGAAAAATTACGATTTTCAATGACTTCAGAAACATGATGAAATGTAGTGAAAAGGCTGAAAAATGGGAATGTAGGAATTTATAAATGTTGCGTCTTTTAACGTTCTATAAGGAAAAATAAAAAATTCATGGAAATTATATTTATTCTATTAGAAAACTATTCCAAGTTGGTTGACTATATATCACATGCTTTGATTTTTTTAAATATAAATACTACTATATACATACGGAGTTAGATTTTGAAGTCTCAGTTTTTTTCTCAATTCCACTAAGTAACAAATACCGAGACATATTTCATCTCAGCCATATATAGTCAATCCTCATGGAACACGCATCTATATAAATGATATGACTTTGTATGGTCTTTTTCACGAGTATCCATTATGTTTTGACGTCTACTGAGGTTAACAGGTGATCAGCAAGTGACATCTTTGTATCAAAGTCTGTAGTGTTAGCAATAAAGTGAATCTGGTTAAAACACAGCAGCCATTTTGCTTTTAGCGTTTTTTCTAGTAAGCGGTGGAACTTTTCTAATTAAAAAGTTTGTTAGGAACTATGATTCCGTAGCGAACAAAAGACCACAACATAATACGACCCTATGAACAGATCTAGCGTTGATAGGTCCGTCAGAATTGTGTGTCAATTGTCGATATGCGGTATTTTGAAATGTTACTAGATATACAACTGTTGTTGTGGTATTTGACGTAATGGAGACTCATGAAAAATATCATAAAACCATGTAAAATGCTGTATTTTCCTGTACCTTCATCTAGGCACGTCATTCCCACGCCCTGAGCTCCCGAGATGCCCAAGTGGCCAGCTTGAAGCACTGTTGGGATATCTTAAAGTGCGAGAACAAAACTTTCCTGACTTTAGTGACCAGCGCCTTTCCATGTTCTAAAGATCAAGACGCTTTGGTGAATGAGCTAAGGCATTCTGGGTACTTTGATGTATTCCAGGTGTGTCCTCCGAACATCGGAGGATCCGCAGATACGCTGGACTCGGGAGCAGGTTTGGTCAAGTGGGGATGTTTCCTATGCGCTCATCCGGAAAGAGCCGTTGGGTTTTTGAGAGGTTTGTATCGATATCACTGTTCATAATTCAAACTGCTGTTTTACTTATTACGCCACTAGCGAGGAGGTATTGTGGTCGCGAAAAGTTTCGAAAATCAGATTCTATTTTATGGATGTAGATCACGAATAAATGGCGTCAAGTAGGTTGACTCTGCGCTTCTTATGTAATGCTTTCATCGGTTCATAAAGTATTGTTTGGCACAATTTGGCCCCTCTGAGAAAAAAGATAGGTATGAACATGTATATCAAAAAAATTAAAGGGATCAAGTTAGTCAAGCAGACTAATACAACTAAAATTTGCATATTTACCATATTTAATTGTAAAATTTTGGAGCTCTTTAGGATTTGGTCTCCTGAGAAGATATGCTCTCCATCACTCTTCAGTAGGTTTTGGAGACAGTTACGCTTTCACACAAAAGTTATCTCTTGTCGATGGGTGGCACTCCCCCTGAGAAAACTTCTTGGGAGCGCCTTTGATCGAAACTATGCGTACTAGTCATGTGTTGTTCGCGAACAAGTCGTTCAAAATGAACTACTCTTCTGAGTGAGCGATGATTGTCCAAGCATTTCTATAGCATGCAGCAAATGAACTGCGAACTGACCAGGTAACAGTGTTGACAGTGGCATTGCGACAATCGACAGTGTTAGTTGTCATTATCAATGGTGACTTTTTAAATAAAATTTTTAATGATATTAGTGTATTTCCTACTAAATGTATTTTTTGTGTAACCAAAGGGTCAAGTTCATTTTTGGAGTATTAGGAAATGTAAGTGAAAATATCTCGAGCGGCCCAAACATCACTTCTTTTTTTGAGAGGCAATACATGCATTACATTCAATTTCTACCAAAAATATTAATACTAACAATTACAATAACATAGGTAACCCTAAACCTTGAATTCATTTCCATAGTATGACGTATATTCTCTGACCCGAGTCAGTGAGTTGTAATGCCCTCTCCAAAACTCATGTTGTTTCCGTTTGTTGTCGGTTTTTTGTCCCGCGACAAAGGGTTCGCTAGGCGCCGAACATATCACGAACATGACTAGGCTCCTCATTCGCTGGTGTTTCGGTTACCTCATAGCGAGTGCCGGGAATGGTTGTGTTTTTTCACTTCTTTTCAATTGCTCTAGTTTTACTTATATATGCGTAATTATAAAATGCCAAAGCGCAAATTAGCCCTGCAGCAGCAGTAGCAATTTCACCATCCATACTCGTCAAGAGCGCGAACTATACTGTGAAGCAGGAGAGTGGAACTGTAGGAACAAATTTCGGGATTCGCATTGCGATCGGCGCCGCGATTTCACTCCTTGATCCGCGCGTGAGTCTGGAGAGGGTATTACAGTAGGCAACAACAATACTTTCGCCAGCTTCGAAGCGGGTCGGTAAAGCCGCGTACCGACCGAGATTCCAACGCCGAGCAAACGAATGCAAAGCATATGTGACGTTGGCGTTTGTTGTTGGAAAATATTGGAACGCGCTCGTCTACACCTAAATTTAGTTCCGGGTTGGAACGCGAGAAGCGCGACAAATCCTGTCCAAACACAATCAAACCAACTAAGGAACGAATGCCAATGCCGACCTTGGAAACCGTTGGCTTATGTTGGCTCGCGCCGTACATTCCGATTCGAACACCTCCAAATCTGTAACCGCATGTGCCTTGGCTTGCGTTGGAATCTCTAGTCTGTACGTGGCTTAAACCTATCGTCAATGGAGAGATGAACGAAATCAGCGAGTTCAGTGGAAGGAGTATGCATGATGCTGAATGTGTACATCGGGCGTGGATGACGATCGGTTCACATCCAGTCAAGCAGCGGAGGCAGGATCGCTACGCGTATGACCGACTCGCGAGAGTCGGAAATATTTCTCCACCATTTAAGGATAAATGTACGGGGAAAGCTGTGATGAGTGAAATATGTTTAAAAGGTGTGTAGGATAACCACATCTGGAGGCTTATAAGTATTCCACAGTCAAAAAAATTGGGATATATTCTCCCCTACTTTAATTTTTTGAAAAATAATTCATTCCATGAAACGTCAAAAAACAAGGTTTAATCGATTTGTTTTTGTCTTTTTACCACTAACGCCGCCTCCACTGGATCGATTGTCAAAATTTATAAAGCTTTTTCGCCCTTGGCATAGTAGTAACTTTGTGTGAAAATTTCATCAAAATCCGACGGGTACCTACTTTCCAAGTTATGCTGTACATGTCATATAACCCCCAAAAGACATAATCCCATTTTCGAAATTTTTCACGATTACAATACTTCCACGCCACTGGCGCAGAAAACCATGTCACCTATTTCCGTCTGTCTGTCCGCCAATCCTTGGTTCGCCTATAAGCCGGAAAGTCTGCTCGGATTTTAATGAAGTTTTCGCACGAGATTGCTACTATGCCAAGGATGAAAAATCTGTAATGTTCAATTTCGGCCGAGTTGCGACGGAGCTACAGACAAAAAACATAGAAAAAAATAATCGCTCAACTTCGTTTCATGACGTTTCAGATAACCCTGATCATTTTTTAGTCTAATCATATTAGCAAATTTCCCCGAAATAATTGTAAAGTCTGGTTTTATTGGTGCAAGTTGTTCAAGGGGGTATTTAAAACATGGACGCACAACATGTGTTCACAAATATTTGTGGGAAACCTTTTTATTCGACAACAAAGAATGAGAAAAGTGTTGACAGGAACGAAAAAACTTTTCATTTAAGATTTTTAGGTATTTATGAGATCTACAAAATGAGCGACCACACGTAAACAGATCCGATTAATAGCAAAAAAAGTTTGGTTTGTGATTTATATCGGCAAAGTAAGCACTTGTATCTTGCTATTAAATGCTCTTTGAACGAACCCTGTATATTGCTCAATAAACCAGTAGTGATAGCTGGAAAACAGGTGTTTTGGTATAAACAATTAGGAATTCTAAAAAAAACTACAACAATATACTCCAATTTTGTTGATGTTATTTAGAAGTATGAATCCTACGGATTTGAAGAATTTCAAGTAGTTGCGTGAAATTATCGTCGCATTACCAACAAGTTCCAAAACCTGCATTTTGCCTCGTTTTTCGGCCATGACATGTTTGCGGATCTTTTTAGATGTGGTCTCATTTTGTAGGTCTCATAAATACTTAAAAATCCTATTAGAAAAGTTTTTTCGTTCCTGACAAAACTCCATTGATGTTTTTTGCGGGTAAAAAGAGAGATGTGCAGCTTTTGTGCGGACGATCAATGTTAGACATTTGCCTTTTACTTTCCGTAGGGGGATTATTGAACAGGTGAGGAAGGAGTATTTTGGCGAGTGTGGACTGCACTCGAAAACCTGGTACCTCAGAATGAGTATTTTTTTGTATGTGAGGAGAAATGAAAATTTTGTAGGGACATATTGTTTCCAGAAAGAGAATGAATGAACAGTTAACAGATGTTTTGGTGAAGAGCTGGTGAATTGGTTTCAAAACATTGTTGTCTGCATTCCTTTAATCGTATGCTTTTCCATAGGTGATACACAACCAGTGATTGAAGGCCAGTTAAAAGAAAAGAAAGGAAGATGGAGGCTATTCAGAAGATGGCGGACGAGATATTTCACTTTGTCGGGTGCACATTTGTCTTGCAGAGGATCTGTAAGTATCTCAATCTTCCAAAGACCAAAGACAATGATAATAAGCTTTATGGTAGAAGAGCGTATAATTATCAGCAGGAAGAGGTTGTAGTTCTATTAATTTCTGAGGCTATTTTTTCATCATTTTTTACATGTTCACATTTTACTAAGCCGCAAAATAACTAAAGAAAAATTGTATTGTGTAAAAATCCCCATATTAAATATCACTTGGTTTTGCTGCAAAAACTTATTTTTCCATTTGCGTCCGAACACGGTCATGATCACATGATGAATTTTTGTTTTAATAGGCAAATTTAGGACCCGTCTTACACAAATCGAATAACTTTTCACTAGACATCTTAAAAGAAATCGGCCATATTCATTACTTCGCTACTACCAAGACGCCTTCTCATTGGTCGAATTTGTATCACATCCGAAAATTTTGATTCCCGCCGGTCAATAGGAAAATCGGGCCTAAATGTTTCATCACAAAGTCAATTTCGTCTTTAGAGATGAGACTGCTCGACGACGGCAACACTTCGGCTAGTTTTCTAATTTATTAAGCGAATAATATGGAGCAAGTGTTCTACCAAGAAAACGTTGCAAAAGGTGTCCGCGAAGTTGGGCTTTTCCTTTACATCACGTGTAGATATTGAGAAAATCTTAAGTGGCATATATACAGGTATATACCAATAGGTACCTTTACATTATTTACACTCTTTCCTGCGGGATTGGAACTCCCCGTTCCAATCACGCGGATTCTCGCGCGGCTAAGGGTGGCGCACCACAATACAGCCTACCTAACAATTAACATGATTAAAACTTTTTATAATGTATAATTATCAATAAAATACTTACCTAAGCTAGTATACAACTTATACACAATTGCCCGCGCGAAGGTAAAATGTAATCAAATGCTATATATTTATATGCACGAAAATCACTGGCGACGAAATTGCGATTTTGAACACGTCTAAAAACCGAGCGATTATTTCTCATTTACACTGGCACGCTTTCGCACACGATTGGAACGGTGCGTTCCGGTCCCGCAGGAAAGAGTGTAAATGTAAAGGTACCTAATGTCTCTTAAGAAAACCGAGATATTGGGCTCCGCAAACTCAGTCAAACCTGAATCAGACCGGATCCGGTCCTGTCCTATCCCTCGATCACGTCGCCACCATCTAATTATACGAAGTACAACTACGATGTAAATACGGATTTTACGACAGATCCGTACTTGGAACTAAAGAGTGAGTACTTTTTCATTTATTTTTTTCACTTGTTCGCTCACGTTTCACCACACATTAGCTTTGTTATATCAAGCGTAGTTGTGTCTGAAAAGGAAAACCCCAACTTTGCGGACACATTGTATAGTTCCTCGAAAAGTAACGGAACCACGCCCACTTTCTATCAGTTATTCTTTATTTCTTCTTTTTCAAATATTAACCTCTAGACGGGATACAAAGCATTTAAAACAATTACTTCCTTTCAGAGTGGAGGAGAGTCAATAGACGTAAACCAAATACGTTCCGTAAAAGTATCAAGAGGCGCAAGGAACATTCCAAAGGCGTTCGAGATTTTCACAGAAAATCAAACACTGATTTTGAAGCCGAAGGACGGTAAAAACGCTGAAGAATGGGTACAGTGTTTGAGCATTGTAGTAGCTCATTCGCATGCCAAAGAGCTACCAGCAAAAAGCAACTCGTTACCAGCTAGAGGTATCAGCTCAAGTCGAACGGCGATCTGACAGAAATATGGAGTTTTTTATCAAAATTGATCGTTTCATCTAGGATTTAGGGCCGCACGTCCCTTTTTTCGTGACTACCTGTTTGCAACAGTATTCCAAATCCTTTTCATCTGATTACTTTATGATGTGTATATAGATGGCTAAAAAACATTAGTTTTAAATTTTTTGTCATAAAATACACTTTTGTGGGTTTTATTGCGGATTTTTTTGTTGTTAACAAGATTAGCACAGCTCTGAAATTGTAGATGAATATTCTACTTTTATGGATGAATGACGCAAGTGATTACTTTTATTCTTATCACACTTTTCTCTTTGAAAAATCTTTGCTTTTCTTGAAAACTCATTTTGCTGCGAGACGAGGTTTCAAGAAAATCAAATATTTTTCGAAAAGGAAAAGTTATAAGAACAAAAGTAATCTCTTGTTTCATTCTTCCATGAAAGAGGAATATTCACACACAATTTCAGAGCTGCACTTATATTTGTTAATAAGTTCCGATTGAAGAAAAAATGCACAATAGTGCATTTTTTGAAAAAAAAATGAAATAATTGTTTTTTAGTCATATCTATACACGCTATGAAATTATCAGATGAAAAGGATTTAGAATACTGCTGTATTATAGGTTGTTTGAAAAAAATCTTAAAAAAGGGACGTGCCACCTTAAGAGGTTGAAATACCGTGTTCCACTCAAATTCACAAGTCTGTGTCAAGGACCTTTCAAGTTGACAAGTTACACTTTTGGTTTTCAGGCATTCCAAGAATAATTGCTCATATATTTTAAATGGAAAAGCATATTGCATCAACACGTTTTTTGTAAATTAGGACAATTTATGATGAAATAGAATCTCATTGCCAAGTGTACTTAAGATTTTATACTTATTTATATAAAATATTATCAAGATATTTTTATACGTTGTTTTAGGAATATTTGTAAATTTTTATATTGTATAACTTAAGACTTGTTTTTTTGTTTTGTTTACATGCATTCCAGCTTTTACAAGTAAATTTTATATTTGTTATTGAATAAAGCTTTCAAAAATGCGTTTGCCGTTCTGATACCAAAATTTTATTGGCGTTTCAGCTGCCTTGATATACAATAGTTAAAGAAGAAGTTTACAATAGCTGTGGCAACTAAAACGAAGTTTCTTATTTTGCATGTTACTATTTAAACTTATTAACGAGATAAAACGCGATATTTGCCATGTTCCCCTAATACAAGCTATAAAGTTGTGGATTATTAATTATTTTGTTACTTTGGCGGTCCTACTTCCATACTTTGGATGCAAAATGAGAAAGAATATCCTACAGACCCATGTCTAACATTTTCACTAAAATTCCATTTCCGCGTCTTGAGGAAACATTTTCGTGGAAATAATATGTTTGGTTTCCGATAGTCAGTAGCTTTTTGCAATTTTAAGGAGTTTTTGGTATGATATGCTGTGGGGCACCAAGTTGTGCTAGATTTTTTAAATTCGGTATATTGTCGTAGTCGCCCAAAAACTTCATCTTCATAGCTTTGTTTTTTTTTTAAGTTTCCCATCAGTCTGTGCTCTTAGATATACACATTTGACAAAAAGAAAATGTTTTCGTTTTTCTTCCACTTATTTTAGGATGTAGCATTAATTTACGAATGCTGCCTGAAGATAGCCAATTATGAGATACCAAAGCGTCATCTATAAGAATTTGTCGCAGGTGTTTCTCCTCTTTGCGCTAATTGAAAATCTACTTTGAAAAGGTTAGTGACATAAATCAAATCCAAGGGAATAACCAAAATTTCTGTATTATGTACCGCGGTTATAATATGGTTTGAGATGACACACAGGGTGATGACGTCAGTTACTCGAATCTCTTGAACGCGTTGGTTTTACCTGCAGTTTTGTTGCAAGTTATTTATTTTAGAAAAGTGCGTATATAAGTTGATTATTTTTATTATCACTTAATAATGGTGCTTTTTCGTCTAGAAGGTGTATGGAAAGTTTAAAAAGAAACCTTTCATAATATTAATGGGAGATATTTTTTTTTAATGATGGAACCATGGCTATGTAGCTATGATAACCTTCAATTCTCTAAACTTTTCCGCAAGAAAACATTTATTGATTTAGCAGAAATGATAGGAAAAAGAGATGAAGATATTAGCAAAACCGTATACAGGTCCATTATCCAGTGAGTTTATATGGCCATATTTTAATAGTCTTGTGGTATATGGCTACACATGATACTTTGTTAAGCATAGGAACTAGATTTAGTGTCCCCAACAACAGTAATGAGTATATCTAATAAGGTACTCTACTTTATGCTACAACTTAAGTCAGCCTGTATAAAGTTTCTCAAAAATGAAGCTGAAGTACAACAAAAATATCCAACACCCGCCAAAATTCTAATTTGTCACATTTCAAATAATAACCAGAAATATAAAACTACTCCGAAGTTGGGTAAATACCACAATTTTACGGTGATAACTATGACATATAACAGCTGAATCATGACGTCACAGATCTTATAACCAAATTAATAGCTTCACTCGCTTGAAGGGATCGGTAAATACCATTTTCATTTGGTAATTCGCTTGAATTTAATTATAGCGCTGTAGCCAAATATATGCTTATGTAGTTGGCTACAGCGCTATCTGTAAGACACTATCCTTGTCAAAGTAGATTTCTAATTAGTGCGGGAATATTCATCAGGTCAGCTATTTTCAGGTAGAAATACATTAATAATAGCAGTAGTAAAGATTTGCATACATGTATTTATCTTACCTTCATATTTTTCATCTCATATTGAGCCCAATAAAATCTTTTTGACTTAAAACTTATATTTAACGAGATTTGAGTATCAATATTAATGAAAGCTTTTAATTTTAATCTTTTCTGTATTTGGCAAAACTAATTTGTATTTTATCACATTCAATTTGTCATCTGTCATTTTACAGATACATTTATCACAGAACAGTTACAATTCTTGACATAAGAGTCCGCGGTAAATATGACTATTCAAATAAAAATATCTAGCCTTATATCTGGAGAACAAAGACCCACAAATATGATAAAATGAATGACATATTTAAAAAAAACAATTCTAAATATAAAACTTTATTTACGCCAATACAGAAAATATGTTCAATAAACCCACTTAAGTTACAAAAACAAAGAAACCTATTTAACCTGTCTATGGAAATACAAACTGATTTTTAAAACACACAATCACCATCCAAACACTTCAACTGCTTTTCAAAACCAGCATTTGGTTTCATACAGCTCCTAGCTAACTTTACAATATCATACGCTTTCAAAAAAGTATACCCTTTTTCTAAAATTAAGTAACCTAATACAATAGAAGACGAACGGCTAACACCTGCGTTACAATGAACCAAAACATTACAATTGTTGTTTACTGCGATTTTTATGAATGGTACACAGTCCTTTAGGGGCTTTAGCAGATCACTCTCTGGCAAATCTAAGCATTCTACGAATTTATAGGTTATGCCTTCATATTGAGTTGGAGCTTCAATACCGATGCTTAAAACAAACTTGATGTTGTACTTATCAAGGATGTCCTTTTCACAACAGTCCTGAGATCCCAAGTACAGGCAATCAATTATGTTTGCTGGAATTTTATCTGGTTTGGTATCTACAACATATCCAGTGTGGGTCTTCACAAATTCAAGACTGTCTTTAGTTTGCTTATAAACTTTTCCATCCAATGACGTTACGTACGTCTGAGTTGGTCTAAGTCTGTTTTTCTTAGCCTTTAAGAGATCCAAAAAACTCATAGTTTGAAAAATGTCTACAGGGAGAACTTTTGGTTTTTACATTAACAGGTTTGCAATGTACCAAGAAAAATAATTTTATTCAATGTAACCTACTCAGGTTCTACAGTTCTACAATTAAATATTGAAAGCCTACTAGTGCTTTTGAGTGTAAACTTCACCAGCCAAAAATGAACTCTCGTCTTGAAAAACTTAGTAATTCATAGGATCCTTTGCAAAGTGATGTCAAAAGTTTGATAAAAAAACAAGTGTCAATTTTAAAAAAATAGAATTTTATAGTATATGTTGTCTATCAGTGAAACTGCTGTTATTCAACAAAATGTCTTCAAAGGGTGGTGGAATTTTTCAAAATTTTGTTTCAAACAAATAAATATTAAAACAGCAGATAAGTGTATCTTATCAACTTAAAATATCTGATTTAGCAACTGTTATGAAGAGCATTAAATTTAAAAATTACTGAGTAAATATGTATACTCATGTCAATTGATCAATGATAATATATCATTTATAGAGAAATGTCACTACTAAATATGTTTGTCCTCTACCTGTTTACATGGAAAACAATGTTAACAATTGAATTTTTATATGCATTAGAAATGCACACATATGCTAGTTACATGTATTGAACTATATGAAGATGCATAGATTTCTTGTGTTTGAGTTATAAACAGAAAAAAGTGACATATGACTGATGAAATTCACAGCTCAATTCCCTAATGTACAATTTAGGTGAGATAACACAGGATTTTCTTTTATAATGTTACTGTTTTAGTATTTATTGTAAATGTTAAAAGTTACTTCTGCTTGGATGTGGTGGTAAGTTAGTTGGCTGACCGGGACCTACTCCTGGACTTGCTCCTGCCCTTGCTGGCGGAACGCGACCTGGACCTTTCTTTGGACTCCTCCCTGGATTTGGAGCGCTTATTATCGGGAGAGCGGGAATGGGACCTAGAACGTGACCTCTCAACGGACTTCTTCCTTGAGTTAGACCTGGATCGATCTACGGACTTCTTATGGGATGCGGACCTGGACCTAGACTTGCGATCGTTTTTGACGCTGCCCGACCTGGACCTAGACCGGGACTTGCTCTTGGAGCGTGAGCTGCGTCTGGAGCGGCTGCGCGACCTAGAACGTTTCGCAGATCGGCTGCGAGACCTGCTGCGGCTGCTGTAAGAGGCGGAGCGTCTGCGTTTGGTACTCTTGTCCTCGACCAAGCGAATGCGTCTACCGTTCAGTTCAGTATCGTCAAGTTTGTCAATAGCGTTTTTCATGTCAGAGAAGGAGGCGAACTCGACGACGCCCTCATTGCGATGCTGCTTGTGGGCGTCGGCGTAAGTGACTTCGCCAGCCTGGCGCATGTAATCTTTCAGGTCCTGCCATGAGATGCGGGACGACAGGTTCTCCACAATCAACCGGTAGTTGGTCCGGGTGGGGGGGCCGTACCTCTCGTGGGAGCGGTGGTCACTGCGGCTGGACGACCATTGGTCCCTACCTCTGGGTGTCCCTCGGGCTCGCTCCACAGTCACGCGCTCCCCTAAAAGTTTTTTACCGTTTAGTTCATATACAGCATCATCTGCATCTCTATGATCGTCAAATTCAACAAAACCGTAACCGTTCTTAATAAGAACGTCCCTCATACGGCCGTACCCTCTGAAGAAGCGCTCCAGGTCCCGCTCTGTGGTCCCGTATGGTAGCCCACCTACATAAACTCTAGACCCTACCATCTTACAAACTAACTTTTATTGTTTAATAGCGTCTTCTGCTTCTGGTAGATGAGTCCTGAACAGCTGTTGATCCTCCTGGCTGTATTCCACTTCGCAAAGGTACAGTCCGTGTGCTGGTACAGTTTTTAATTGTGAACACCACGAATGACGTGACGGCACTTCAAGCATAAACTTAATATCTCTAAGACTCACTTTACCTTGTGCTACTGCTACAAGAGATGCTACGCTTCTTCGCACCTGGACAAAAGAGAAAAAACTCCTATTATAAGGGCATCACGGTTTATGAAAAGTAGCTCTGAGTAGTCGCTGCATCCAAATAACGATGTAGATCTTGAGGGTCTTCCAGTTATATTGTGACTGCTTCTCTGAATTACTAGTTATTGCAACCACATATATCTCAGGATAAAGCGTGTAGTGATTCAGCTTCAAATCATAGTCAAGTTATACACAAAAAATAAAACTATCAAGAGACCCCAAACAAAAGCAATGTGTGGAAAACCACTCAGTGGAATCAAATGAATACCTACCAAATTGAGAGCTCATCCCATAGTGACAAAAAGTGTCAATTGTACTTAGCTCCAGAAACTCAAGTTTGAGATCAGAAATAGAGGGTTGAGGTTTAAAATGTAAAATATAACTAGAACAACTGGTTCATCATTTCTGATATATATAATTTGCTGCCTTTATATTGCTAAATTTCAAAGTACTCTTTTTCATGCAGCAAATTGTGTAACTTAGGGGATACTAATAAAACAAAAGTAAAGAATAGATTTACATACAGTTCTTTCCACACAGGTACCTTCTAATTTTTACTTTCCACGCCTATTGGCGAGGAAGTATTGTAGTCATTAAAAATGTGGAAAATAAGATCTTTTTTGTTTATTTGACATAATACATGTACATCACTAAAAACCATGTCACTCGGTCAGTCGCACTCTCTGTGTCAGTTTTTCTGTTCGCTAATCGTTAGCTCCTTTTTACAAACTTTTTTTTTAAATGGAGTTTTTGTTTTTTTGTTCAGAGAATTGATACTATTATTATAATCTGTTAACATATCTTTTTGATATGACAGAACACAATTACTTCGGACAGGGTTCTTGCCACTAATAATTCAATTCCTGGCAAAATAAGATCATTTTACAGAGTATGTTTGATGAAATTCTCAAAACTTCAAATGCTTTAAATTTGTGGTGATCCAAACAGAATGTAGGTAATATTTTAAACTATAAACTGTTTTTGTCATTGTAAAATGTGTTTTCTTAAGTTTAATTTATGAATATTTACATTGGACTGATGAGGATTAGTTGTTTTTAAACTTTCATAGTGTATGTAAACTCTTAGTTTTAAATAAACTTTCTTCCTTTTTTTGAATTCTTGGATGAGTTACTTCAGTTATTTGCTTTGGCAACTTGTTTTTACAGAAATTTATAATTTGATTTGATTCATGATTAATAGTGAAAAAAGTAATCGATTTAAATCGTAGCACCCCTACTGTATCGCACTTTTATGTTCACTAACTACTAATTTTTTTTTTTTTAGATAAGAATCTTTTATTTTTTTTCTTTAGATTTTCAAATGAGGAACTCTGATCCTCATTTATGACAGTGAACTGTTTTTTTTTTCTTTTAGACCTAGGCTCCTTATACACCTTCAACCAAAGATACTGACTGAACTGTTTCTATTGTCTGCTTGTAGCTTTGACAATACCTTGTATTCCAGCTGATTGATGAGTCATTCCTTTTAATAATGGTGGGTGACAAGAGAACAAAAATGGTCTTTCAGTATAAGCCAGTGGTTCCTCTGCCATTTTCAACATATCAGATGAAGATCTATTAAGCTTAAGCGAACCATTTGTCGGATGTCACCTCTTTGGCAAAAATTCATCCAATATCACTGAGTGTTTTCCTATTGATTTTTGGGGTGTATTTTTAATTAATTTCAAACTAATTAAAGCCCTCTGCAAAAATGTAAAATATGCAAAACACGCTGTAAATATACCAAAAAATGTATCTTAACATTCTGATCAATATTTAAACTCCCATATTAGCTTAACTCCTTATGGCACAAGAAATGTTCTAAGTTGTATACAATTTTATGAATAACAGATGTGTTCTTTCCAAAATATGACATTCCAAAATATTTTTGTACACATTTTTGCAATAACCTACAAAACATCATCTAAAGTTGCAACAATCAAGTAATTGAATGTGAGTTTTAAGTTGTTTAGTACCTTTAGCAAAGTAGCAATTAAATGTGTGACTTATTAATTGTATTAACCTGTGGGATACTTGAGAACTAACAAAATAGTAAATGAATCTCCAGGCAAGTTTCCAGTATTTTTGTAATTACAACACTTCTTTACATAAACTTTTCTTCATATAAACATAGAAACTATGGAATATTTCTTATGACTCACAAAACACTCTTAAAACAAACAATTTATAAGTAGAGAGAAAAAGTGGACCAGATTCTTGCAGATTCTCTATAGAGTTCATCAGCTTTGCCAAACTGAGAGGTATCAATTTTTGCATACTTTTTTCCTCAATCGGCTTCACTAAATCCAGGGCTAGGTAGGTGCCAAAGGATGTTTAGCACAGTTTTTGTGAAACCATTACTGTTAGATGTTCATGAACTTCATTCATCTTACGATGTCAAAGAAATATATCTCCAGATTTAATTCCTGAGTCAACAATTAGGGTTGAGTTACAATTTTTGTCACTGAATGGAGTATGATCAATATGAATGTAATGATTTTATAAAATTTGCAGATAATGTCTTTTGACATTAAACCCTCCAAATTTACGTATTAGATGTATGATTGCATTGCATTGATCAGTCCAATAGCTTGAATGCTGAACAATTTTTAGTATCTCAAATATTGAAAATGGAGAATAAATATAAGAAAAAGAAAGCTATTATCAAGGTATAATCTGAAAAAAATGATTACGGGTCGGTGTGACTTTATGGTTTGTTTTTCCTTATGACCTCTTTGAAAACAAAGGTCAAAACTCTACAGCGAAGTTTCCGTAAGGGGGCCATGAAAAACGTTATCTGTTTAACAAAAATATTTCGTCATGTCTGTAAGTGAAGCGTAAAGCTACGTAGCGGAAAATTCGGTTGCTTAAGAAAACAGACTAATCCTAATTAATAGGTTACAGCTTCATGAAATGAATAAAGTAGTAAGCAGCAGAGAGTCAGCGATACTTTTCGTAAATCCTTAATAAATACCTCAAAAATTACGGCTTCACTTGGAAGCCATTTTGCATGTTTCCCTCCAAGCCCCGGCCGTTCTTCTAGGTTAGAGAAACGTGTCCACTTAACTATCAAACTTACAGTAAAACTATTACTACTTTCTACGTAAAAATATAGTAAAAGGATATTTACTTTGGTATGGAGCTCGATGAAACCAAGTGAACGGCTGTTAAAACGATTGTAAACATCAAAAACTTGCGTCGAAAAATTTCTGCAGCATGCTCGTCAGCTCGAAGTCGAGAGAATTTTCTAGTGACCTACTGGTCAGTGGTGCCAACAGAGCAACGACTAATATCACCAAATCACCCACGAGTTCTTATTGATTTTTCGCCAAAATCATCTTTCTCTTGCATAAATTGTCAAAAACCGAGTTGCAATAAGTAAAAATGCCTTATGAATAAGGTTTTCTAAACAATTTCCACAATTTTATGCAGATATTGGCGTAATTCTTCCATTGCCAACCATACGATCTGTCAAAAAATACCCTATGTCATAGGCAGGCATTTTTGAAAAGTACCGCTAATCCTCTATAGGTTAAGTGAAAAAGGAATAAATAATTATTACTTTGCTCAATAATCATTGTTTCTCGAAATACCGAACTCACCTGCCTATACAGAAAACCTTTTCCTTTCACATAAATGTCCAGAAACAAAAATTCACTCTTGGGATGTTGAATAAATTGAGGCCAACTATAAGGACTGTAGCCTCTATCAGTATTCTGCACAATTTTTATTTCCTCAATGTACTTTCTCGTAACTTTGTCCAAACATCCATTAAATGTCCCCATGAATGTTCTAAAATCATGATAGCCTTCAAGAAGTTTTGCAGCATCCCTCATAGTTTCCACATTAAAAGTATTTGTACTACAAATTGAAATTTCTAAATGCTGTGCTGAAAAGGTTATCCAATTAATCTTTACCAATAAAAGAGACTTCTATCCCATTCTTCAATAGGAATGTAATGGCAGTTGGGTGCTATATTGAGTTGGTTTGCCTTTGCTATTGTTAACCTATACAAATATGTCCTGGAAATTGATCTAGTCCCACAATGGAAATCTGGCGGTACGATACACGTTCTTAGAACTCTAATTGGGACATCTCGTTTTTTAAAATATTTATTCAGACATAAAGTTACAGAGAGTGGATCATACAGTGTGCCATTTTTCCTATATAAATCTGCGTGGCATGTAGCATTTATGGCACTAACTCCTGCATCAGTCCTAAAATAATTTAACATTCACTTTTTCTTGGGACAAAGTACAAATTTAATTTCATGCTTTTTTTATATACCTGCTAGACATAGCCACAATAGGATCATTACATGGATTTAGTTGTTTCAGACCCATTTCTAGTCTACCCTGTACTGTATAAGGATCAGGTGGCCTAGGACTTCCCCCTTTTAACTGTCTTTGGGCACCCCTAAAACAAAACAGGTTAAAATCAAGAAATATTTTGCTGTTACTGTGTATATTTACAGAAAGGGTTTGCCCATGTAGGCGATATTCAGCAAGTATCGGTTCATTATTCGATTCTAGCTATAGACAAATATTTTTTAATAATCATTTTTTTTTTCGCCGACCGGGTCTTAGCCTAAAATTATATTTTTTCAGAATGTGGAATCTGAGATCCAGTTTCCTTGGCGTTTATTCTAACCTCCACATCCACAATCGACAACTCGTACTCGTACCAAGCAAAGCAAGCAAACTTAGCAAACTGTCAAGAACGTTTGCAGAATCTAGGCAACAAGCACTACATCTTTGTAAACCAAAACTGCCCATGTAGTAGGAACAAGAACATTTTCGTGTAATCATATTAGTCGAAAGTAGTTGGTAATGCGACGATGGTTTCTCGCAGATATTTGAAATTCTTCAAATTCGTACTTCTAAATAACCACAACAAAATTGGAGTATATTGGTCAAGTAGTCTTTTGAGAATTTCTAATTGTTTATCCCAAAATACCTGTTTTCCGGCCATCACTTCTTGTTTAATGAGCAATATACAGGGTTCGTTCAAAAACCATTCAATAGCAAAATACACATGTTTACCTTGCCGATATGAATCACAAACCATTCTGAACGATAAATGTTATTTTTAAAATTTCAAATATCTGCGAGAAACCATCATCGTATTACCAACAAAAGTTGCCAAAACCTGCAGTTTGCCTCTCGGTTTTCGGAAATATGTTTTTTGCTACTAGTCGGATCTTTTTACGTGTAGTCTCATTTTATAGGTCTCATAAATACTTAAAAATCTCAAAAGGAAAGTTTTTTGTTTCTGTCAATACTTTCGATTGAATCCCAAAAAACACATGTTCTCATTCTTTGTTGTCAAATAAAAAGTTTTCCCACAAAAATTGGTATACCCATTTTATGCGTCCATGTTTTAAATACCCGCTTGAACTTGCACGAATAAAACCAAACTTTACAATTATTTCCAAGTATGTTAAAAAAATTGAAGGAGAATTGCGAAAGCAAAATGTTTCGATTGATTTGTTGAAATTTAAGATAACTTAAGCTTACACAAATAATGTTATATGCAACTGTGCCTGCCGTAATTTTTCTGGGCCGCTTTCCAGTAACTCCCTAGTGCATAGTATACCAATATACCGTTCTATACCCCATTCGTAGTTCATTTACGCCCTGACAAAACACAACATGCCCATAAGCGAGATTGTACAGGTCCGTATTTACAATGGTCTTGGAATAATCTAACAAAAAAAATATTATTTTTATAGAAAGAAGTACTTTTCACAATTCATGATTCGCTGGAAGTACTTGAATCATCGTTCGAATGGATAATACTGGTTCAATTTGATTATCGATCATATTGTCCAGATCATACATCTTTGTTCCGATTGTCTCTTTAACGTGACGGATGCAATCTTTGTGATGGTTTGTTGTTTGGTGATGGTATCTTAGGACATAAGCCTGTTTTGTTCGCCACACGTCTTTCAATATCATGAATTTTCATTTCAACATGCTCTAAAATTTCGCTCTTATAAACGTTAAGGACTATTTCTTTTGCATGTACATATATTCAAATGTCCCTTCTTGTCACGTTTTCGGGGAGGAGACATCACTCAATGGGAAGCATGACTGAAGGAAGCATTGGGAGAAATATTCTCAGTTTCATCTGCTGTATCCGGAGACTACATGCTAACGTATAAACACGGTATGTATGCACCGAATATGAAGGAAGAGTAACTGCCGGCGGTGGCGGTACCCGGAGCCTGAGTTCCATCCTGTCGAATCCTGCAATTGTTCGTAGTTTCATAGCCGAAGGACCAGTAGCTATTGCAACGCTTAGGCGACCGCAGCTTTGCCGCGGTGCATCTCTGTTATGCCGGGGCGTAAAGGGAATACGAAGGTATAGTAGTAGTGCGAGATTGTCTTACCTAGAACATGATGCGCTCTATAGTATGTTTTAGATATAACCGGGAATTGAGCCTACCATGATTTATAAAAAAGTATCTATAGTAGTAGTCGTATTTTATTTGGTCAAAAGTACAAAAACATAATGTTCCAGTGGCATATAGTTGTTGTCGTGAAAGTCATATTTGTTACCGGCATCTCTTCAAAATTATGAAGAAGACTATGCTACGCATTGTTAAAAGTTATATTCCTTGTGAAAAAATATTTCCCAAATTAGATATATTAACAAAAAGGAGAGCCAGTTTGACGGCTAGTAAACTCTCGAAAATTATTTTTTAAACTTTTAAATATAGTTGTAAGAGATTAGCTACGACTAAAAACTGCATCTAAGGATTTTACTTTAATTTAATACCATTTATTCTCACATACGGTGAGGTTCAAATTTGGCTAACGTCGTGATGTATGTTAGAAACGGTGCGCTGATGACATCCGTGGCATCGTCACTCGGGTTGCGAAGCAACGAGGTACTTCTATCTCATTCTAACATACGTATTGCACGCTTCTCTCTCGTACACATTACGACGTCACTGGTATTTGGTTTTCAGTGTATATGTCTTCGAAATCCCGATCATAGAAGTCGGAATCAAAGTCGTAGTAGGAATCGAAACCAGCGGAATTCCTACTGCAGTATCGTTTATTCGAAACGACTCGTTCAGGACCGACCCAGCTCTACTATAAATACCTTAACCTAGTAAAGAAATGAGGCAAGACAATAGGTATCTTGTTAAGGCTTAATATATTATTCATTTTCAGCAGGTAAATGCAATATAACGAACGAAATGTACAATTTGTATCTAATTTTCTCAACATATTTCCAAGTCAGTAAAGAGTAACAATAATGTAAAATTTATATATAGAAGTATAGTGTACTAAAAAGCAATTATGAACATAAAGATTTAATAAAGAATACAATAATCGACAATCATAAATACATTATAATGCTTTTGATTGGTAGAGCTAGAGCCTACTAATTGGTACGAAGCTGATAATCTCCATTCTGTGTGATATATCGCACCCAAGGTAGCGCCTGATATCCACTCTTCTCAATAATCTTCAAATATCTGACTTGAATGCCAGATGTCGTGAAATAGGGAATCTCAAACTTGACTTGGATTGGTGGCTTGCCCTCTGTATCTTCACATTCAACACTTGGTAGGCCAAAATGAGCTCTCATCAGATATTCTTTACCTCCAGGGAATGATTTGATGGTCCATGTGATTGCATTTTGTTCGGGAGCATATTTGACGCTACCTGAAACCATATGGCTGGTGTTATACTTCGGAAAATGGACCACATTTGATACATTCATATAGTCAAAGGAGAAAAAACATTACACCAGGCATGTTTACCTTCCACGTCAATAGGAAAGAAAGCAATTGTTATGGCGTAAAAATTCGAAATCCAAATGACATATAGACATGGACACCCGCAGGAACTTTTTGGCAGAAATAACTTTTTGTGAAAGTGTGCCTGCCCAAAAACTTTTTGAAGAGCCATGATACCAAATTTTCCTAAGGTGGGCCAAATTCTAATAATCCCTAAAATAATTTTACGCAAAATCATGCTAAATAAGCAAATCGTAATGGTGCATTGTTGAAATGGTTAGAGTCTTATTTGACTGATAGAAAACAGTATGTCAAAATCGATAATCATATATCATATGTCATTGACGTAACATCAGGAGTTGGTCAAGGTTCTCACTTGGGACCTATTTCTTGTTTTCATAAATGATATCGAATCTTGCATACATCATTGTACATTTTTGTTGTTTGCTGATGACTTAAAATTATATAAAGTAATTAGATCTATTTATGATAGATACTTAGTGCAAATTGATATAAATTCGTTACTTATTGGGAGTATATTAAACGGCATACCTTTTAACACCAAAAAGTGTTATTATATTACTTTTGGTAAATGTAACTTACAAGATGTTGATTATAACTTTGACAACGTTGGGTTAGAAAAGTTAGACTCTATAAAAGGTCTTCGTATCATTTTTGATTCTAAATTATCGTTTAATTATCATATTGAACACATTAGATATTCAGCAATAAAAAAAATCAATTTTGTAAAGAGATTTACAAGGGATTTTAAAAGTATTAGCACCTTCAGAACGCTGTACTATTCTTTTGTATATCCGATTCTAAGCCATGATTCTGTAGTTTGGAATCCTTATTTTAAATATCAAATATGAAAGAGCCAATCATGTCTTTTTAAGATATGTTGCATACAGAACTGGTATGCCAATGAATTTTACCGATCACAACTACACAAATATTTCAAACAAAATTATGATTCCAACACTTGAAAGTGCTAGGAACATGATTGTTTTATTTGCTTATAATTTATTTAATAACATCCTCATTTGAACATCTGTATTAAATTTCGCAGATGATTATGTTAATCTCAGTTGATTGCCTTGTATACTATTATATGTTACTGTTACCACATATGTAGCGCCACTTACGCGACGTTTGCGGTGCATTTTTCTATTTATAATATACATGTATAATGGGTTCGCCCGTAAGTTGAATAAATAAATAAATAAATACATAGTCATGATCTATGCATAATGCATATCAAATTTTTCAACAAGTTGCCAATAGTTATCAGAGCTTCAGCTTTACAGCATTGAAGAATATTTATCATCAGACTTCTGAACTGAATAGTTGCATATAATTTATTATTCTTTTTCTTGATCTGATTTTACACTTTTTCATCTGTTGTTTTCTTATGTTTGTTTATGTTGTTATTTTTTTGTAAATTATGTTTCTATTATTTAATTTATTTTAGCTTTGAAATTAGTGTCAATTGAATCATAACTTTCTGAATCAAATGGCAATAAATATTATGCATAGGTATACATAACAGTTATTTTGATGCACAAAAAAAGAGTTCCAGAAATTGAATAATACAAAATACATGGGGGTGCTGCATCAAACTACTTGACACTATTTTTCTGAATTATGAGTGTAGGTGTATTTAAATTTATCAAATTTTAAAATATTTCATCTATTCATAGAAAATGTTACTAGATGAATGATGGTAAGTAACAAGTAAAATAAGCCCAGCAGCAACAAAATAATCACCAAAAAATGTTTAAGTCCCAAAATATCACGATTGAATGCTAAAATCTCATATTTTGATTGAAAAGCACTGCAACTATTTTAATTACCTATAGTTGTCTTGAACTTTGGAGAGTCTGCATCATGAGGCACTGGAATGACAATCTCAACATTGTTAGCAGTAGAACGTCTTTTAAATTGAGATTTAGCTTTTATCATATACTCAACCCTACTATGAGCATGCCTTTCTATGATAGATTCAATCCAAATCAATGGTTTAACATGTGTATTCAATCTATAAGACATGAGCTCAAACTCGCCATCTGGAGGTATGAAAGATATAGTTCTGTCAATTTCAAATCTAGATAATCTTACACACTGGTGGAACTTAACATCTTCCAGTTCAACTGATTTTGATTTCCCTCTGCCTGTACTTTCAAAGAGAACTTTGTCATTGAGTCCCAATCTTAATTCAGGCATGCCAGATAAGTATACTCTCATTTTTATAGCTCCTACAATCTCACTTCTCAAAACATTTCCATTTGCATTTGCAAGCAGATTCACTGACTCTATTACATCAAGAAATACCTCATTCTTTCTGTATTTTATTCCTTCAGAGCGCCATGATACTGCATTAGTCACAGCTACCGGAATACGAGGTTGTATTTCAAGTTTATGTCCTTCTTGTGTAATATATTCTTGGAGTATCTTACTGTCAGTTGTTTGAGGATATCCAAAGTCAAGCAGTTCATCCATTAACTCATATATAACAACAAAGTTATCCCTAATACTCTCCTCTTCCAGTTCTTTAAAATACTCTGTCATAACTTGAACAATCTTATGTAAAAACACAAACACTAAAGCAATATTTGCATTCTTCTTTGTGGTGCTAACAATGTATAGATTATTAGTTTTAATGTAGGCAAAAGTGCAGTCTGTTGTCTGTAAAATTGGTGTTAGTAATCCTTCTTCTTCCTTTTCCATGAGAAGAGGCATGAACTTTTCTATCACACCCAAGTCTATGTCTCCTCTATAGTTTCTGGATATTAAGACCTTTCCCTTAACATCCAGGATGTAAATGGCTGAGCACGACATTTTTAGGTCTTCCTGTCTCCACTTCCTGGAAATTCTCGATAGACTTCGATATTCTTGAAGAGCTTTGGTTTTGAATATCACGCCTTTTTCATTGTATTGCAAGCATTGCGTCGATCTTGGAGAGTTTTGAATTTTATAAGATTAAAAATAGAAAACACGTCCTCAAATTTTGTGTTGAGCAGGTATTTTTTCTCTTTTCATTAATTTCTATGCCACCTGCAATTTTTACACCTGCCTGAAATTCGTGTCACTGTCAGATCACGAAACATATTGAACAGATTGAAAATTGAAACCGGTTCCAAGTTGACGTTTAGATTTCTTAGGCTGCTCACAGACCGACCATCTTGCAGGACGTGGAAACCGTAGTTGAGATTTTGTGAACTCAAAAGTTCCTGAATACTATCTGATAACTTCTAGGCTTGCATCAGCAGAGGTGCTTTTGTGAATCAATTGGTAATGAAATACCGTACACTCTGGAATACTGTGTAACTTTATTTTTAGAACGCCTAAATTATTACAGTCTTATAATGACACTTAATGACAGCCTACTAATTTCTGCCTAAGACCATTTTTTATTACAAGAAACGCTATGCGTACGGCGTACGAGGGATGTCTTTTAAGTTTTGCATATGTAAATAAAACAACATGGTAGGTAGTTTTAAATGACTTTATTGCTTTTCGAAGTATTCTCCACGAAGATTAATACACATCTGCATGCGCTCGAACCAATTTTCAAAGCACTTACTCCACTAGTTTGCTGGCAGATCTAAAACGGCATTTTTGAATGCGTCAACTGCTTCTTCTGGTGACTGGAACCTATGACCACGCAGTCTGTTTTTAATTTTCGGGAAAGTAAAGAAATTGTTAGGACTTAGATCGGGACTATATGGAGGATGGTCCAATAATTCCACGTTTTCTTCCGTTAAATACTGCCTTGTTTTTGGGGCTGTGTGCGAGTTTGCATTGTCTTGGTGGAGGATGATTCTTCTTTCGGGGTTGATTTTTCGAAGCTCGGTGATGATTTTTGGCAAACAAATGGTGGTATACCAATCCGCAGTAACAGTTCTTTGCTCATTAAGAGGAATTGTTGCAATATGATCTGCTTTTGACACAAATGCCGCGACCATCTTTTTCGAAACACTTCTGGTTCTGGTTCATAACAGTAAATCCACGATTCATCCCCACTAATAATGCTGTACACATTTTTTCAGTTTCCGGAATTAAAACGGTCAAGCTTTTTTTCACACCAATTAACCCTGGCTGCTTTCTGCTATTCAGTCAACAGGTGGGGTATCCAACGAGAAACTAATTTTCTTACTCCTAATTCTTCATGTAAAATTTTTTGAATTGAGGTCTTTGAGATCTTCAAGGACGCCTCAATCTCGCGATATGTCACACTGCCGTTTTTGGTGCACCCACCCTCGGATGGTCGCTAAGACTCACCCGTCCACGTTTGAATTCTCCATACCAACGGGAAATTGTCGACAGATGTGGCGCTTCGTTGCCGAAAACAGACAGTAACTCAGCAAGGCATTCTTTTTGGGATAATTGTCTCTGAAAGTTGTAATAAATTATGGCGCGAAAATGTTCTCGGTTGAGTTCCATTTTTCTAATGACTTGGCGACACTTAAAAATTCACTGCAGTGAGAACACTGCACGTATTGTTGTGAAACTTTGAATTCAAGTTTACTAAAGAGTGAGGTTAAGATTCAGTACTGACGTTCGATCCGCGCGGCCTACTATGTTTCTATATGCAAAACTTAAAAGACATCCCTCGTAGCCCATTTATCGTAAAAAATATATGTTCTGCCAATTTTTAGCACTTAGAGCAAATAAAGTAAACATGCAATGAATCATAAGAATCATAAGTGACCAACAGTCTTATTCCCAAGGTTTTGAGCACGGGAAGAAAAGTGCACTTTTGACGTTCCTGAAGGATTACTTTTTTCTATTACTGAATGCATGGAACCAGTACCTCAAACAATTACGTACGTTGAAAATGTTACAGAATAACACAAAATTACACTGTAAGCTAAGACCAAGGGCGTCGCCAGCCAATGGCCAGGGGGGCAAGTTATTGATACCATGATTGAGAAATGTATAAATTAGCACAACAAATTTTACACGTGTAGTATGGTGATTGTGATAAGAACAGAATAAAGTCCAATGTGTGAATCTCCACGAGCTCTTGGCTGTACGGTAAATTAAACTTGGATTCAATTATGATATTAGACTTATTATAACTTAGAGTTTAAATACTAGAAATGGAAATCGTGAATTTGTTCGAGTTTTGACGTGTCGGAATGATCGATCCAGCACGTTGTGTGAGTGTACTTATGAATTTTATTGATTTGCATTTCACTACATTTTTCGGGGGAGCAATTGCCTCCCCTGGCGAGGCCTTTGGCTAAGACTATGCGACTTGCCCTCAGACGAGGAAAGAGGCCTTGCCACCCTAGTTCAAATTTAATACGATCATACTCATATTTATCCAAAGGTTGGATGCGTTGATCTGTGGTTTATATATATATATATACACCCAAGCAATCTCGAATATCATTCTGTAGTGACTGCTCGTGAATCGGCTGATCATGCATTATCTCATTTAAAAAAAATGCAGGGAAACATCCAGACATTCATTCGTGTAGACCTACCTTTACTCTGTGTAATAGTCACGACAACTTTTTAGTTCTATTTTGTAGTGTTCCGTGTCAAAAATAAATGAGAGGTTAAGTAGAACATGTTTTTGTTTGAATTTTGGCTTTTAAGGCATTTATTACTGTGAGTTTTAATAAACCTATAGCTGTAATGAATCGTTTCAAGTATGCAAGTCCACTTTTGATGGATAACGAATCAACCATCGCTGTGGAAAATAACGTGAGACTTTACGACGGTCCCCAGAAGGTAAAGAGACAAATCCATATTTTACCTAAATTGAAAAAATACCTTTGTAGACCTCCTTTGAGGGTGGCGAGCTGATAATTACGTCTCATAGGCTGTTTTGGGGAAGGCCAGGGGCAATAGCTCGTGGACAAACATGCCTTACTCTGGATTTGAGCCTTGTAGTGTTTATTGAGGAAGAATCACCAAATTCGTTCAGTTTTAGTCGATCAAGAAAAGTTATTTTACATTTAAGTGAAGTGACAGGTAAGATAATTTTTCATTTGTTGCAACCACTGGTTTCAAATATTCCCCTTATATTTACAGAAGTAAGTAATGCTGCCCCACAACAATACAGTAGCTACAATTTCATTAAACTATCCTTCCGAGATGGTTTTACAAATAATGTGTTGGATATTTTAAGTGATCTTTTGCAAAGAAGGCCTTGGGAATCCCCTATGCCTACACCAATTATAGCTAATGATTCAAAGCCACAAGTATCTGGTATCAAATTGCGTACTGGTATTGTTGGCATTGAAAGGAATCTTCAGGAAAAGCAGAAAGCAACTGATGAGAGTATTACTGTAGCATTCCAAGATCTCAATAAATTGATGACAATGGCAAAAGATATGGTTCGTTTAACTAGGACAATTTCTACTAAAATTAAGGTAATTGGAAGTATATCCAACCAATACAATTTGCTTCATGATCAAAACCATAGAAATATGTACCAAAATGTGTTTCAAAAGTAGTTAGCCCTTGACTGCACAGATTTATTATGTGTGTTATATGTGTTTTCTTCCTTGCATTATTCTAAGCAAAAAAGTAAATTATATCCTTTGTCCGAGAACCAACCGTTTCAGAGCAAAAAAATGCTGAACTTATTTTGTTTTAGTCACGAATTAAATTAATTGTGCTCCTTAATAATTTAAATTTATTTGCCTAATAGCGTAAAATTGTATCAATACACCTATTCATTAATTAACCTTCTCTAACAAAATAATTTTCTTGCTTAATAATGCAATTTTCCGAAGAAAAACAGACAAATAAATGCCCTCACACAACTGGCAACGTCGTACTCCACCTGCACTGCATGTATCATCGCGTGTTGTTGTGATTACTAGTACCTTTAACTGTAACTTCATGTGACTGACAGATGTTTTTTTCTTTTTTCGTGCATCGCATCGTTTCAAATAAGTGACTTATAATCGTGGGAATTTTTTGGTGTGTATCGACACGTACCGGTAAGTTCTGTCATTTTTTTTAAGTAAGCGTTATTAAATAAAAAAAAAAGCCGCAAAAAATTGCGTAAAAGTAGTCAATAATTCAATGCATATTTTCAACAAAAATATCGTACAAATGTAAACAATTCGATGAATCAGTTGCGGTCGTCACTCGTATCGCGGTTGCGTTGACAAATGTTTGAGAAAATTTAATTATTTACGACTCACTTTCCGCGAAAACGTTGATTTTCGGACATAAGCTATAATGAACTTTTTTGCTTAGAATAATGCAAGGAATCACCTCTTAAAGTTACGAATATTATTTCCCTAGCACACTGTATATCTGAGAGATTCATATATAATTAAACATTACTAGTTTCACAATGAGAGTCATGTCCCTGATTCGCACCATTGTATTGTTAAACTTATGTATCAAAGTTTGGATTGCTGTTATTAAAGGATTATCTAATCAAAGCTTGTTTTCCTTCTGCTATTAGAGTCTTTGACATTTGTCACTTACTATGAACAAGAGTGATAAACACAGATTTCGAAACATACAGGTGGCATACTAATATACAAACTGAGTATGATTGAAGTAAAAACACATAATACTGTAGTTGTTGATTATCAATGGTGGTATATTAATTTTGAAATGAAGATGAAACAAGATTACAATGTACACGTTTACTACAGATCTCCAAGCTGTAATATTAGCCGATATTTGGACTGTTTTGAGAGTGTTTGTGAAAAACAGAATTATTGAAATTTCTCCACTGTGCACGTGGGAGATTTCAATATAAATTTTGATAATCAAGATTTTTATGTAAAAAAAATTAAATAAGTACTGAACTTTCATGGTCTATGGCAAAAAGTTAATGACTACACAAGGATTACAAACTTTTCACGAACTAAGATCGATTTATTAATAACCAATGAACAGAATTTGAGTATTAAGGTTTTACATACTCAAAAAATAAGTGACCATTCGTGGATATGTTTCGAGGTGGAAAATATGTTTAATGAGAGATAATAAAGAGAAATCACAATTATTGACTTTGAAACGTTACGAGAGTCACTCTTACAAGGCAATATCACTGAAATTTTTAATGATGCTGGCACTTACTTTTCAAAAATTATGGATTGTATGGAGACGCACAAATTAGGAAAGTGGTATATCAAAGGAAAAAGCCAACACTCTGGTTTTCACAAATATTTCTAGACTCTAAATTGACGCGTGATAATGACTATAAAAAGTTTATGATCAGTCAAACTGAGGGAGATTGGATACAATATAAGAAATCAAGAAACAAGTGTTTAACAAACCTGAGGAACGAAAAGAAAAAATATTATGAAAACAAAATCGATAGCAATAAAAATAACAGTAAAATGATGAAAAGACATTAAAAAATATTGTATCTCGCAGTAGGAAGAATGAATTATCAAGAATGTGCTTTGAAGATGGTATAGTAACACAAAAAATATCGATTGCAGAACGAATGAACGCTTATTTTATAGAAAGTATAAATGAGATAGTGGAATCAATCGAAGATGGGGATCCAAATCTATGTCACACGCAAGTTACTTGTAATTCTTCTATGAGAAAATTCCAAACAATAAATATCAGCTATCTTCCAAAAGCTATTACAAGATTGAAATCTAATACAAATCCTAGTGAACATCTCTCAAAAATGGTTATGAAGGAATGTTTCAACATTATTGGAGAGTTGTTGTTATTGTTAGTGAATCACTGTTTAGTGTATGGCGAATTTCGTTCAAAATTAAAATGTTCTACAATTACTCCTGTTCCAAAAGTGCAAAATTCTGGGTTATATACAAACATGCGGCCAATTAATGTAGAAGGAATCATATATGAACAAGTCATTGAATATATTGAAGAAAATAAGATATTGACAAAATTTAAAGCAGGATTCAGAAAAAAGTTTTCTACTGAAATGGCAATTCAAATGGTAGTAGAAGAATGGAGGCGAAATATGGATGAAAAAAGTTTACAGTAACATTGTTCTTAGATTTCAAGACAGCATTTGAGACTATTGACAGGGAGAAATTTTGTGTGCCACAGGGTAGCAAATTAGGTCCATTACTATTTATTTTATATATTAACGATATTCCTGATATTTTACAACACTGCAAAATTCAACTATTTGCTGATGATACATTAATATATATACCAAATAAAGACATTGAAACTGCAATAGAGCTGTTAAATAATATGAAAAACGTAATAAATTGGTTAAATGTAAATAAACTTAAACTAAACACAAACAAAACAAAATATACTAAGTGACATATAAATCCGAACACCCAGTTTAAATGGTTTTATTTTAATAAAAGTTGGTGAATGTATTTATCTTACTGTAAATAACAAGTGAAAAAATTTTCATCCCTATCAGTTGGACATTCCGGTTTTTATACTGCTTTTTTAATTCACTAACGCTCTAAAAATGAATATTTCAGCAGCAGTAAAGAATCAACGTTGTCGGATTTTGGTTCTTGACATCCTTTACGATCGGTTACGATGCCTTGTAGGGAGACCTGTACGATTTCGTCAACTTAGTGAGTTTGATAGGGGCCGAATAGTGGGACTTCGGGAAGTTGGACTTTCTTTTCGGGCAATTGCAGTTAGAGTGCAAAGAAGTGTAGACACTGTGGTTAGGTGTTGTCAGGCATGCTTTCGAGAATGCCGTACGCAAAGAGCAAGGGGCACTGGACGCCGCCGTAGAACAACAGACCGTGAAGATCGCCGCCTAAGATTATTGGCCTTAAGGGACCGTTTCTCCACTACCAGGTCCATTGCAAATGAATGGTTTGCAGAACACGGAAGACCTATTGGCATGCGAAGTGTTTACCGACGAATGAGAAGTTTTGGCTTGTTTTCATACCGGCCACACTGGGTCCTCCCTTTAACTCGAGAACACCGACGTAATCGCCTTGAGTGGTGCAGACAACGGTCACTCTGGGATCAGGAATGGAACAGTATTGTCTTTAGTGACGAGTCTCGATTTTGTTTAGGCATGCACGATGGTCGTGCCAGGGTTAGAAGGCGACGTGGTGAAAGGAGGAATCCACAGTTTTTTGTTGAAAGACATGTTCATCACACTGTTGGAGTTATGGTTTGGGTTGCTATAGCTTATGGTTCCAGGTCACCTTTAATCTTCATCAGAGGTAACATGAACGCGCAGCGTTATATCCACGAAGTTCTAGAACCCCATCTTTTACCCTTTCTTGACACCCTGGCAGATCCAACTTTCCAACAAGATAATGCCCGACCACATGTTGCAAGAGTCACAATAGACTTCTTTCAACATAATGATGTCACATTGTTACCATGGCCACCAAGATCTCCCGACTTATCCCCATTTGAGCACATGTGGGATATGATGGGTAGGAGATTGCTCAATTTGCAACGTCCTCCTCAGACTCTAGAAGCACTTCGAGAGGAGTTGGTGGTTGCCTGGAATGAGATACCACAGGAGGACATTGAACACCTGATCAGAAGCATGCCTAGGCGCGTTGGAGAATGCGTAGCACATCAGGGTGCATCCACACATTATTAAAGGTCAAAGGGCTTTAAAGCAGTGCAATCATTTTGAAATTTTTATCATTTACTTATTATGCTTCATTAAGTACTTATACAAAATTTTATTAAAATAAAACCATTTAAACTGGGTGTTCGGATTTATATGTCACTTAGTATATTTGCAAATAGGAAAATCCTTAGATCAAAATACGATGAATCTTACAATTAATCATGAACAAATTGTGTCAATCAAATCATTTAAATATTTGGGCATATACGTAGACAGTAAATTAAAATTTGAAGGGCACTATGAATATATTATTTCAAAAATATCGAAGAAAATAAATTACTTTTATAGAATTTCGCATAGCCTAAGCGTTTATTCTAAAAAAATTGTGTACAACACTATCATTCTTCCTCATTTGTTAAATTGTTCGACTATTTTGTTCACCGCAAATGAAACTGTATTTTCAAAATTACAAATATTACAAAATAAAGCTATGAGAATCATCTTAAATAAAAATAAACATACTAGAATAAATTTCATTTTCATATTCAAGTTGAAAAATCATCTTCTACCAAATCCAGTGCCACAATTATTGTACTAGAGGAAGTATAGACTTTCATTTACAAAACTGCAGTGCAATATAACGAGCAAGTCTGTATTTCAAAAGGGATTGTACGAATTTAATAAATTAAGTAATATCAAGATGTGTGTCAGTTTGAAAATGTTCAAAGGGAAATTGAAAAAATATCTCATGGAAAACCAGAATTCATAGTAGTGAAATTTTGTATAAAAATATGTAGTCTTGAAGACATAATATATTTTGTGATATACTGTGTAATATGGATATTATGGACATTGTAGCATTAATGCTAAATAATTCTGAAACAAAAGACACAGTTAAAATCTGAGATTCAGGATCATTCAGTATTTGATCAAAACCATTACTCATTCTGAGAATTGTCAAGGGGCATGCATCATAGTATTAAGATCATATTGGAAATCTGCTCTTTGGGACCTCCCCTTTTCACATCAATAATTTTTGAAAATCCCCTTAAATAGATTCTAAACTATTCTTTGAGGTAATTTGGGGCGCTAATTTCAAATATTACTGTCAAAAAAGTTTCTTTGGAATAGCAGAATAGGATGTTTTAGCGTTCCTGACAGTTTCATCATAATCCACGCACACAATGTACCCAAGAAATGAAAATTTGGTTGAGATCACAGATACACAGTAATTAGGGAAAATCTCCCGTGACTAAAAACAATGACAGTTGGTGTATAAAGGTAATTTTGGATGTTGATTTCAAAAAGATGGCTGATCAAAACTTTCTATCGCGAATACCTTTTTGGAATAGAAAACTCGGCCTTTTGTGTAGTCCCATCGATCTCGGCGATAAACTATCATCAGATTTGTGGACTACTCACCTGATTTACCCAGGACGAATTTTGGTCCATATTGCAGATAAGCGATAATTTTTGAAAATGTTGCTCGATAGTTACGAAAATAGTGATACTGCTATTAATGGTTCTCCTCATGTTCCCCAGTTATGCAAAGTCCAATGTGGCGTCAGCACTAGAAGTCTCTTGTCAAATCGCGTTATAACTAATGCTTTGGTCACAGCCTGAAATTCTTTGTGGTTTTGGATTTTGACTGTTTCTGTTTTGTTCAAACCTAGTCCATAATTGCAGGAAAAACAAGGAGATATAACCGAAGACGAAACAGTTCGGTTTAAATCCTACCTTCTAAGCTTGGGTATTGATGATCCTGTGACTAGAGATGCCTATAAATCAGACAATATGTACTATCAGAGCCTAGCAAAGCAAATTTGCGACTTTCTGCTATCGCACGTAGAGGAAATGGGTGGGATGATGGCGTTAACTGACGTATTCTGTAGAGTAAACCGAGCTAGAAGTCTAGAACTCCTGTCTCCAGAAGATATTTTGAATGCTTGTAAGGTTATGGAGTCGTTAGGCTTGCCAATGAAGTTGTATACATTTTCTTCTGGGGTCAAAGTACTCCAACTCAGCAGTTTGGATAGTGAGAGTGTGGCAGAGGCCACTGCAGTTTTAGTAAGTATGAAAAATAAAAAGCTGAGAGACAGAATGTATTTTATGCTCTTACAAGGAAAAGCGTAAAACTGTAAAAATATACAGGGTGTACCATTTGACCTTTTCTAGAATAACTACATTTTGTATTAGGGTTTGGATAAAGGTCTTCAGTTGAAGGGAGGGGGGTCCTTTAACAGACATAATATGTAGTACTATTCATCCAGGAAGACCTTTAACGAAAATGATGAAGGAAAGTAATCTGCAAATAATCAGTTGAACTTATAGATAGAATTCAAATTAAACGCCATCATGAAATTCTAGTTTTTTAGACGAATTTTTAGAGTCTACATAGGCGATTGCTCTCATCGCTGCTCCACTTCCATGTATCTGCTACTGTTTTGTATTCTGAAACACCCGCAGAATTAAAAAAAAACTATTTAATGGTGAGAAATTATGAGATATGAATCTAGTTCTTCTGTCCTGAAATTATAATAATGTGTGGCTGTCTAAAACTTTGTCTTTCGAAAAGAGCCTTCTAGGATACCTCATTTAAAAAAAGAATACCACAAAGTTATGAATCGCCCTATACAGAGTTTCATATTTTCCATGTAAGGAGCGTCTGTTATCATAGCATCACTACTAAACTATTACTAAATTGCTATTTTCTTCAACAGGTAGAAGATAAGGGATCCCTCTCTTCTGAGGAACTATCTCAAACTTTAGGAATATCGCTTACGCTTGCCAAAGAAAGATTATTGACTGCAGAGAAGTTAGGAAAATGCTGTAGAGATGACTCCATAGAAGGTCTGAGGTTTTATCCAAATCTATTTTTAACTAAAGAGGAATAACTGATCGTTTGATGTTATATATTAATAAATGTAAATAATACTCAATGCAGTTATTTGCCTTGTGAATAAATATCTTTTTTAGTTTTGTATAAATTAATTTATGCTTGATAAATTAAAATATTTATTTAATGTTAACATGTTTTTATGAAATAATAAATATACTAGCCTAATGTCAATTTAAGATAATTTATTATTGCTAAATTTTTAGCACAATGCTGCCTTCACTACCATGGTAGATGACAGGGGGCTTAGTGAGTATGCCAAATTTTTGTAAAATCTCGCACTTCAGGCAGGAAAACCTTCCGCTGTCTAAGAAAACTCTTCTTTGACATCGTAGCCAAGATCGCTGAATAATATCATTTCTTCCGAACTAAGCTAACATATTAGCTGCGATTTAGCATGCAGAAAAACATTACTAACTTTACGACTGGCTTTACCGTAACTCGAAAAATATTACTTGAACTTGTAATTGAATTCAAAGTGAGGTGTTAACGGTGATCAAATGAATCGTCATACATTCTTATAAACAATGGATGTTCGAGGCAATTTTAAATAAAAAATGTAAATAAACGTGTTCGTTATCGTATATTGTAATTTGTTGTTAAATAAGGCGTCTTCATTAACAATAAAATCCAGAAAATTCACGACACGAATTAGCTAACAACAACAAAGTTAAGTGTGGCTGAATTTTCGCGAAGGCATGATAAAATGAATGATGATGTATGACTTAGACATAAATAAAACATCTAGATAAAATGTGTACATTTACGCCAAGGTTTCTTGTAAGTGTGATTGTTCTCCGACTTATTCGGATTTCCAGATTAAACTAGTTTATCTTAAAATACACCTTTGTATTTGGCACTGATTGTCATTTTATCATAATTTTTGGGGTGGCGATTGTCTCACTATAAGCTTTCTGGAAGGGTATCTCTACTTTTTGTTGATTTAAAAATCCATGATCTTTGACTTTTTTGGATAATGAATTTAACCTAACCAGAGCAGCATTAAAATTTGACGTTGAAAATGTCAGATCTATCGTAATTTGTGATACCAAATTTGTCAGATCTTAGATCTTGATAACCGACACAACTGCATGTCCGCGATTAATTTGCATCCTCGCATCAATGCAAAATATACAATAAAAAAAATCTAAGTGTTCTGACTCGTCAACATTTCGCCGCTGTGCCATCGGATTCCCCTGAAAGAGGAATAACTGATCGTTTGATGTTATATATTAATAAATGTAAATAATACTCGATGCAGTTATTTGCCTTGTGAATAAATATCTTTTATAGTTTTGTATAAATTAATTTATGCTTGATAAATTAAAATATTTATTTAATGTTAACATGTTTTTATGAAATAATAAATATACTAGCCTAATGTCAATTTAAGATAATTTATTATTGCTAAATTTTTAGCACAATGCTGCCTTCACTACCATGGTAGATGACAGGGGGCTTAGTGAGTATGCCAAATTTTTGTAAAATCTCGCACTTCAGGCAGGAAAGCCTTCCCCTGTCTAAGAAAACTCTTCTTTGACATCGTAGCCAAGATCGCTGAATAATATCATTTCTTCCGAACTAAGCTAACATATTAGCTGCGATTTAGCATGCAGAAAAACATTACTAACTTTACGACTGGCTGTACCGTAACTCGAAAAATATTACTTGAACTTGTAATTGAATTCAAAGTGAGGTGTTAACGGTGATCAAATGAATCGTCATACATTCTTATAAACAATGGATGTTCGAGGCAATTTTAAATAAAAAATGTAAATAAACGTGTTCGTTATCGTATATTGTAATTTGTTGTTAAATAAGGCGTCTTCATTAACAATAAAATCCAGAAAATTCACGACACGAATTAGCTAACAACAAAGTTAAGTGTGGCTGAATTTTCGCGAAGGCATGATAAAATGAATGATGATGTATGACTTAGACATAAATAAAACATCTAGATAAAATGTGTACATTTACGCCAAGGTTTCTTGTAAGTGTGATTGTTCTCCGACTTATTCGGATTTCCAGATTAAACTAGTTTATCTTAAAATACACCTTTGTATTTGGCACTGATTGTCATTTTATCATAATTTTTGGGGTGGCGATTGTCTCACTATAAGCTTTCTGGAAGGGTATCTCTACTTTTTGTTGATTTAAAAATCCATGATCTTTGACTTTTTTGGATAATGAATTTAACCTAACCAGAGCAGCATTAAAATTTGACGTTGAAAATGTCAGATCTATCGTAATTTGTGATACCAAATTTGTCAGATCTTAGATCTTGATAACCGACACAACTGCATGTCCGCGATTAATTTGCATTCTCGCATCAATGCAAAATATACAATAAAAAAAATCTAAGTGTTCTGACTCGTCAACATTTCGCCGCTGTGCCATCGGATTCCCCTGAAACTTCGGCAAGCAAGAGAAATGTTGACGGTGGCGACCTATAAGTTTTCATCATAAGTGATTTTGATTCCCTATATATACTAAATGACAGAAAATGCAAAACAGACTAGAAGTGATGTAATTTTAAGCATACTTTTACAAGTTTTAGGTCTACTGATAAATAGGAAGTGATCAAAATTTTAACTCGAAATTTCGCAAAGCAGCTGAGATATTTTACCTTAATGTTAATAATGTGTTGAAGCTCCTATGTTCACTACACATTCGTTAAGTCGTCGCGGTATTCACTGGATTAGTTGATTGATGTCTTTTTGGTGTATTGTATCTCAGGCCAATGATTGTGGAGGTTGCGGTGAATTTTGCAACCTTCTTCCCATTATGACCAATACATATTCGATGGGGGAAAGGTCTGGAGATCGAGGAGGCCACTGAAGCAGATTTACTCCTGATGCTTCTAAAATGTCAAAACTAACACGTGCAACATGAGGTCGTGTATTATTGTCTTGCTGAAAAAGTGGATCTTGCAGTGTTTCCTAAAAGGGAAGCAGATGTGGCTGTAAAACTTCGTGGATACAGCGCTGGGCAGTCATGCTACCTCGAATGAACACTAATCCTGACCTGCTGCCGTAAGTAATGGCACCCCATACCATAACACCCACAGTGCGATGAATATGACGTTCGATGGAATATTGGTCTTCTACCACGTCTCCTTACTCTTGCACGGCCATCAGGTGTGCCCAAACAGAATTTGGACTCATCGCTGAACGCGACTGAGTTCCATTCCATATTACATTCAAGTCTCGCCCTACTCCATACCAATCGTTTCCGACGATGCTGTGGGCTCAGAGGTAGTACAAGATGGGGACGGTATGAAAATACTCCAAAAGACCTTATTCGGTCATAAACTGTTCCCCTTGTTATTGCCCTTCCTACAGAATCAAACCACTGGTTCGCAACTGCCCTTGTTTGGAAAATTGATCTCTAAGTGCTAGTTGCCTCAAATATCGATCCTGTCGCTCTGAAGTCTTTGACGTCCAGTATCAATAACTCGTCGATTTTGGCCTTCTTGGAACCATTCTCGGCTGCATCTCATTACAGTAGCTTTGTTTCGATTCACAAAATTAGCGGTTCAAGCCGTCAACCGGCACTTTTACGAGTATAATTTTGAAAGTTGTTGGGTTATATTTGATGAAAATCAATATTAGCGCCTTTTCAGATTCAACCCTGTTTGACGTAGGTTTATAAATTGAACCTGTCTGATATTGCTTGTAGTATTTTCCATTTTTCTGTATGCATACACTGCCATGGAAGTAAGTTTCTATTTACTTGTATTAAGATAGGAATTCCTTTTTTAGTGCTGTGTTGGCAACTACCACTTTTCTATCTGAACTACCTCTGCATCCGCATTAATTTCAGCATCGATAAATGTGGATAATCCTCAACTGCGGATGCGCATGTCCGCAAAATTCCTAATTTCTACAAGGCCATGTTTGCCCAGCATCCAGGGCGGTATTAAACTAATCTCGGTTGGGAGCCAGTTCAGGAGCCCTTGGCTTCTATAGCCTTGCTAGATGGTTTACTTTCTCCTTAGCCGGTGGACCACCACCACGAAAATATACGACCCGTGAGAGTTTTGTTTGCTAAAAAGTACACACACATATTTGGAAACACGCATGCCAGATACTATCGGCTTGCATGCACTTAGAGCATTTCCAAGAAAGGTCATCAGTTCGCTATTTTATTCATCATATGCTAGTAATATTTAGGTTATTTTTAACCATTAAATTTGGCTATTATAGAATCTTGTTTTGCTCATAGCAAATTATCCAAATGGGATCAGAAATGTATGTCAGGACATCAATGCATCAAGAGTCGTTTTCTACTTGCGATAGAAATTAGAATCACATCAAGTATCCATTTATACCCCACGTGGAGCTAAGGCCTCCTATCCAAAATACACTAACTGTAAACGCTTTCAGGAAGCTATCGCTCTGTTTACATTACGGGCTAAATGTTATCAATTCAAATTAAAGCAGAAGGTCGCTGATATACAGATATAAATATAAACGGCTGTGTTTGCCTGTTCCAATATTTATCACTCACGAGCAACATTCGAGCAAACATGTTCGTGTCGCGTAGACTTTCGATCCAAGAAGTGAACAATCTACTCAGCGAGAGTTTTGTGAGAATTTTTGGGAATATCGTCGAGCATTTCCCAGCGGCTGCGATCGGAGTACTGAAGCACAGGCCGTTTGATAGTACCGAGGCATTAGTGCGAGCTATCAACGATTTTTTGGATTCGATGAAACCCAGTGGTAAGTACCGATTTCAATGTTATACTTTCTAGAGTGGGAGACCACAAATGGATTTTATAGTTATTCTATCTACTTTACATCTATAAAAAAATACAGATACACAAAATATACAGGGTGGCGCATCGAAAACGAAACAGACGCGTTTACTGGCAGCTCAGTTTTTTTTTTGGAAAAACGCTCAGACCCGTCGATTTTGTTTTCAAGGGGGACACAAGTTTGGCAAAAAATCACGTTAGCACTGTGCTTCAGTTCAGTAGTTTTGATGATTTATTGATTTAAAGCTTAAAGTAGACTCTAATAGGTACATCAGATTAGTTTGTGCTACTTTCAAAAGAATTTGACAAAAAGCATTTACTTAATAAGTAAATGCTTTTCTTCACTACGCCCATGGTTTGTTTATCATTTTGTTGTCGAAAATAGCGTTTTATTGTGGCAAAAAAGTTATTTCTTGAAGAAAGATAAGGAAATATCTCGTACTTATTTTAAATAGGAATTTAGTACATAGTTTGCGACTGATTTGACCAAACTTCCACAGCAGAAAGAGTTGAAATTATCGAAATATTTTTCAGAAATAATCAGTGGCGCTAATAGAACAGCAGAAATATTTAATGAGCGACATGAGAACAGTAACGTGCATCGAAAATATGTTCTAGAACTTGTAGCTAAATTTCGGGAAACTGAGTCAGTCGCCAATACAAAACGCAACATTCAAATCCGATAAGGAACGAAGCAATAGAAGTGTGGGCTTTAGGGCAAGTTTATGTAGATCCTATGTTAAGTACCGCAAATTGGAGACTGTGTGTGGTGTTAGTCGATGTACTGTCCAACGGATTCTAAAGGCCCATACTTTTCATCCGTATAAAATTCACCTGGTACAAGAAATTAATGAAGACGATTTTGATCTGAGATTACAATTTTGTGAAGATATGAGTGAACGAATTATAAACGATGAGCATTTTCTATTCAACACTTGCTTTTCCGACGAATGTTTCTTTTTCTTAAATGGCGTAGTAAATCGTCATAACTGCCGATGTTGGTCCGATTCTAATCCCAGAATTTATCATGAGGTTCATACACAGCAGCCACAAAAATTAAATGTTTGGGCTGGATTTTTGGCGATCAATTAGTTGGTCTTACCTGGAAATTTGACCGATGAAATGTATTTGGAATTACTGGAAGACGCCATAGATCCTGCATTATCAGCCATAATTTAAAATCAGAATGATCGGCGGTACAACAGGATGGTGCCCCACCACATTACGCATTACGTGTTCGACAATATTTAGATCAGACGCTTCCAGATCGATTGATTGGTAAAAGAGGTGCCATTGAATGGCCCCCAAGATCGCCAGATTTCTCACTTTTGGATTTCTTTATGTGGGGTCATTTAAAAAGAAAAATCTATGCTACTCAGCCAACATCATTAGAAGACCTGCGACAAAGAATTGTGAATGAATGCCCTCAAATTACTCCTCAAATATTGCAAAATGTGCGACAATGTTTTGAGCAAAATCTTTATTATTACATGGAGAGTCATGGTGGCCATTTTCAACATTTACCTGCCTAAGGGGTCAGTTCATTCTTCATTTTTAAATTACTTTGCTGCCAAATGTATTGATCTCCACTAATGATGATGTATTAGTTTTATTTGAGCTTTAAATCAATACATCTTCAAAACTACCTAACTGAAGTACAATAATTTTATATCATTATAATGGGAATTGAAAGACCTTTAAAATAAGGTATCACTCCCTTTCCATTTAAGATTTTGGGGGTGGTGTCACCCCCGCTTAGGGGGCTGCACGTGCTAACGTGATTTTTTGCCAAACTTGTGTCCCCCTCGAAAACAAAATCGACGGGTCTGAGCGTTTTTAAAAAAAAACTGAGCTGCCAGTAAATGCGTCTGTTTCGTTTTCGATGCGCCACCCTGTATATAAAAATACAAGTGTTGCTCCACTGCCATCACATTAAAAACACAAGTTGAAATTTCATTATAGTTGTGTATTGTTTCACCTATAGTTTTTATTGTGAGCGTTTTGTGTATGGTGTGCTTTATTCTAAGACATACCTTTTCCTATCATAGTCTGCCACAAATATTACTCAAAGTAAACAAAATACAAATAAAAATAATAGAATATCAACTGTATATTAATAATAGAAAAAAATCATGAGGTAAAATGTGCTAAGATGATATAGGTATGCTCATGTTCAGTGCAAATGTTCATAACAGGTCATTTGGTCGATAAAGGTATGCTTAGAAATGCGAACATTTCGTAGATGCGTCCAACTTTTTGGAGTTACTTCCGGAGCCTAAAAGTCCGCTTATAGATTTTGATCTTTTGTTAAGAAAATAATCACCAAACGGATTTGTAACAATTTAACGGAAACTAAAACTTAGATGACAGATTCTAACGGCTTGCGTGTACATAATCCGTTATCGGCCGATAAAATCAAACTTATGTATAACTAGAGCGTACACCACTACAACCGTCATCGGCCGGCAACGGCTGATAAACAGCAACGTCCGGAGTTGGAGTATAAAAAAAGTATTTTTTTTATACTCCAACTACCACGAAGGCCTAAGGCTTAAACACCCATGGGGTACCGTGGGGCTATAGGGGGATACAGGGGAAAGGGGGGAACGCCACACGGACTATGGTGAGGGAACACGTGTGCATGCAATATACACACATTCTGGCCCCGAATATGAGATCCGCCGGGTGGTACCTCCGCGTTCGACAGTCAGAGACCGTCTACCATCTACGAACAATCACAACATCCATAGCAAGAAAAAAATTTCTCCTGGGACTGGATTCGAACCCGCACAGCGCACGGCGACTGATCAGGAGACCGAAGAGCCTACTACTGCGGCCACCGCTGCTGCCTAAAGCGGTTGCCGCAATTTGTTGGGATTTCTCGGCAGTGCGCTGGTAATAACAACAGATGAATGAGCGTCTTAAGTATGGATATTGAAAAATTAATTGGACCTGTTTATAATAGGCCGCCCCTGTGGGGCTACAAGTTGCATTAATCGGGATATTGTAAAATGGCTATGGGCTGAAGTTGCATTGGAAAAATAGAGCAACTTAAGAGGCCAATATACTGAACTATATAATAACACTTTCTAAAATATTCGAGGACTTGATAGATTGTAATTTTAAATATTCGAAGAGGTGGTGAAATTCACCCAGTTGGTTTCTGTGCATAAGTTTTTCAGGTTAACATTTTAAAAACAAATATCTGTACTGAGTAAAACTTTTACTTTGAACTGTAGTGGAAAGTTAAAATTAATAAAATTAGCTAAAAACAATAGGCATATGTTAATAGTTAAACAGTAATTTAATTTTTGTATGTATGACGACTCCCATAAAGTATCCATAAAGGCACTTCCTATACCGTCATTGTAAAGTTTTATAAAGAATCTCTATACGATTCGTAGTAGTAGTAGTTGAGTATTGCATATATAGTATGTAAGATTTGTATAGTATAAGTATTATAAGTTTCTAACAGCGAAATTCGTTTTTTTTTCAGATTTAGAGGAAATCCTTCATCGATACCCTGACATCTTCAATACATTGATCAATAACAGGTTGTTGATATTAGAGAAGAAAGATGGAGCACAGCTCACGATGACTGAAAAAAGAAGACTGAATGAGTTGAACAGCCAATATAAAGAAAAGTTCGGATTTCCTTTCATCATGGGTTACAAGAGCAACGATGTGTTCGCGGTGTTCTCTGAAATTATTTCTAGATTACAGAATAACAGGGAACGCGAAGTTGAAATCGCCGTAAAGGAGGTAAAAAATATTGTGAACATTAGGATACACGACCTAGTGCAAGACAAGCAGAATGTTGGACAGTGTTAATTATTAAACACTTTTTGGACGATCTTATTGTTGTTCATGAAATTCTAACTAAAGATCTAAAAAAGTTTTTCCTATTGAGGGCTTCAAGGGAAAATCTTTGGGTATTAGGAAGTGCAAATAGGAACGGGATATTCAATTTGTCATTGCTATTTTGACCTTTAGGAGATTGCTTTGAAGCTCCTTTTTGAAACACCAGTGGGATGTCTGAGGAAATACCTATGCATCTCTCGATTACTGCCCTAATATAGAACGTATATAACACTGTTCTCATTTGTATATTGTGTAAATTATAATGTATGGAAGATTTGCTTGTTGTGTATTTCATTATTTTTTATCACCACATGGTGAACATAACCAGTGGTTGTCGCTTTAAGTCATTGTGCTGTATCAGGCCACTAATGGAAAACGCATACGTTTGAAGAAGGAAGTTACTATAAGGTTTAAACTTTTGGAATCATAGTCACACTGATGTATGTACGTTTTTATATCATGTTATTAGGTTATAATTATATAAAATTACTTTTTATATTTGATATTCGTTTGAAGCGGTTGTAGTAAACGATAGTAATTTTATTTTCAAGAATGATTTTTTGATTACTTGGAACATACAGCATAATGTATAATCAATTTTATTCATATTGAATATACTTGTATATTTGAGATATCTCATCATGAGAATGATACTACGTATTACTACAATGCATCCTAATGCTTCTTTCAAACTTCTATCTCACCATACTTATATCATATATGGGTAGCGTGGCATGTAGCAAAAATAAACAATACGAAGTATAAAAATTTGTAGCGTTTTTCTCTTCTCCACAATACCCATCTATATAAAGATAATCCAAATATACAGGGTGGCCCATCCATGTGTGGACGGAATATTACTCATAAACAAGTATATTTTGGGTAAATATATTGATGGCATGTTATACATGACATATGAGGACAAATTTCTAAAATATTGGCAATTATACAAGGTGTCCCAATTTTGACCTACTTATCAAAGTTGTGATTTTCAAATGGAATGCCTCAAATTTAATGGCATATTTGGATAAACCAATTCAAAAGAAGGAGATTGATATAAAATACTATGGGGTTTTGGTGATTGGCTACTGAGATGTAAGTTGTGTTTTCCAGAAAAATCGTCCACTTCGGCAACCCCTCAATCCGCCAATTTGAAATTTGGAGAGCCCTAAAATTAATGGTTCAGTTGTAATTGCGATTGTCATTTGCCGGTTTTTTCGAAATTTCACAAAATTGCAAATATCTCCTGAACAATAAAATTTCGGACCACATATATAGGGATTCATTCGATAGGTTCTGATGCGCTCCATCACCTGATTTCCGTTGATCCACTACTAACTTTACACCCTGTATATATGTACCTACCTACTGAACTTAAGGGAGCAGTCGGATTTTTCATTCATTTGAGTCACAAGGAAGAGGCTAAAACATTATATCTTCATGGAGTCTAGATATGTCATTATTGACCTGAGGGCCTAAGAGGAAGCGCGAATTCCGAAGATAAATAAAGGTTTTATTCAATCATTGAAATACCATGTTGTATGCTTATTGGAACATATGTGTATTTCAGAAGTATGTAATTTTTAATATTTGTTATCAAGGACCTAGCGAAACAATGCGATTATATAAAATTAAAGTGGACGGGGCAGGATGAGAGTTGTGATAGAAAACTGGGTCACAACTAATGAGAGGTTGAAAAATACTGCCCTATAGGCATACGGGCCCCTTGCCATTCCCGTCGTTTTCAACCTCCCGTGGGCCATAGGTGAATCCCTGTATTTTACAGTTACATAATAATGCTTCCGATTTACCCTCGGAATGAGCTTATGTGGAGAAAACTGTGAATTGAGAGGTTCCGAATTATGGAGGTCTTTAACTTTAACATACGTTCGACGAGTGAAAAAAAACGTAGGACATATTATTTGTCTTAAATAAATGTCATTCCTTATATGATGATCTATTTTGCTTTTAGATTTGGAGATCACGTTTCCAGCCATGTGCGGGAAGAGGGCAACATGTTTACCAACGTATCCACGATATTCGGACCGGTTTAATTAATGATGAAAATATATACAAGCAGATTTATCTGCAAACGGAAAAGCTAGCTAAAATTGCAATCATGATATCCGGACAAAACATCCTTGTTGTTTTGATTTGTTTGACGAAACGTTGATTAGTACGTGAGCCAAAACACGTAGTTCTAACGGATTTTTCCACAATTATGTAATGAAAGATATTAATATATATTAATGCGCTATATATACAAAATTTTATGGTAAACTGAAATATTATGAATTTCTTGATACATAAAAATTTATCTTCACGTACCTGGAAGGACGTGAAGATAAATCACGAAAGCGTTCGATCAGATGTGGCACGCTGCCCTCTTAAGCAAACTTCCATCCTATGGCCTCCCAGAAAAGCTTTGCAGAAGGGTGGGTGACTTTATCTCTGGTCGCAAGATATCCGTCGTAATTGACGGGTTCTCCTCTTCATCCCACAATCTCAACGCGGGTGTTCCCGAGCGGCCGGTCTTGATTTCGACATTGTTCCTCTTACATATCAATGACCTCCTTTCCTGTACGATCAATCAGATCCACAGCTTTACCTGTGACAGCACTGTACCTGCATGAATTCAGAGTGACAAGACGATCTTTGCCAGTGTGCTGGAGTAAAGAAGACTAGCAGCGACTTTCTCTCTGTAGAGGGACCTGGAGGTTATCACTGCTTGTGGACGCAACAATCTGGACAGTTTAATGCTTCCAAAACACAGTAATATACATTTCCTAACAAGAAGCGTCGTAGCGCTCATACGGTTTCGATAGATAGCCGAGTTCCACCAAAGACCCATTCATTTTGGCTGGTCGGAGTCCATATCTCCGAGGACATGATCTGACACGAACATATCTCGTCAACAGCAGCGGCTGCTGCTGAAAAAAAGCAAGACTATTAGTTTAAGGCTAAGAAGTACTTTCTTCCACATGACCTCAACACTCTGTACAAGGCTCAGATAAGACCTAGCCTCGAGTACTGTTCACGTGTTTGGGGTGCTGCGACACAGACTACATTATCCATGCTCGATACTGCACAGAGGGCTGTCCGAGCGATCGATGATTCTTGTCTAACGGACAGTACCGGGCCCCTTTCGGTCCGACGGGTCATCTTAGCTCTCTTCTACCGTTATTACAACGGGCTTTTCTCCACAGAGCTCCCCTCCATGATGCCGCCGCGCGATGTGTTTGTCTGACATACCCGCCTGACTTCGGTCGCCCTAGGGTATCGAGATTGTGGAATCTACCCGAGGTGTATTCTCAGTTCTACTAATCGTAGGCAGTTCAAAAATCGGATTAACAAAGTTTCTTTAAGCTCCTCATAGCAGCCGCGGTGCACTGGTGTTTAGGCTTCTACCTATGCGGCAGCTTCGGTATAATGAAAAAAAAGTTGATGTTGAATTAGCAGCTGAAAGCAGTATTCAATAATATTAATAATGTAGACCATTCTCAGTGTGTGGGCATCATCTTGTGAACAAATGGTGTTCGTTTTATTACATCGTGATGTCGAAAAAATATTTTGTAACAGCCAGACGCTTCGTTGCATGCATTTGTTTATTATGTGATTATTTTAAATTTAAACAATATAAATTTAGAACTCATATCTTCAAAATGAATTTGTATTTCACAGAATTGATAAATAAAATACTACTTGCAAGGAATTATATCACGTGAATCTACAATGAGTAAACCCCAAGGTAATTATGTATAGATTGATAACAAAAAATCGCAAAGCTACCCAAGTCTCTGACACCTGATGATTTTAGTACCACAGGCAGTGCAATACAATGTTTTGGGACTATGTACACGGAAAAAACGTTATAACGTAAAAAACCTATATAATTTAAAAAAAAGACAACATATCAACTTGCTGACTAGATACTTCCTAGTGTGCGAATAGATCGTCAGCAACAGCGTCATCTATGGAGGAATGACTCAACGATAAGTTCAATTACCATGCTGCAAGTCAGTTTCCCCAGCATGCTTTATTGGTTGTGTATGAAATCAGTGATATCTGCTATGTGAAAAAAATATTACTGAATGTGTTGCCCATAAAGTATATCTATTCTCTGTACCAGACGAGTTATTTCTGTTGTCCTTACTGAGGAGAGGTTATGTTTAAATTTATAAAATTACGATTTTCTCCAGTTTTTTTTTGATTTTCCAAAACTTTGAGAAGCATTAAGGGAAATCGACACTGCGCCCGCGTTGTGTGTAATTAAGCCACATCACAGAAAAATTAGGAATGACGCATCACACACAAGACATTTACGCGGTGCCTCACATCTAGGCGCTGATTTGTATTTTATATTGAAATCGCAAAATAAATTTGTATAAAATTTAAATGACTTGAATAATGAATAAATTTATAGGGATTTGGAATGTGGTAGTGTTCTGTACTCAATGCTTTCCTCAGACGTAACTGAATCATATGCATGTCACACACAAGCGTTGTTCAACACCAGGGTACACAACCACTCAAATTTATAGTGGTACTGATAGAGCATTGGGGCATTAGTCACTGGGTTCATATTTTCTAACCAGATTTCCAAAAACATATTCATAATTACGTAATAATTAATTAGATAATAAGTGTTTGATATATGTCTGCTCTGATTTAATCATGTTCACTAACTGATTTTATGATATCTTAAAATTTAAACAATCTCAATACAAATATAAATAGAACAAATAACATTTCGTAAATATATTTATGATTACCCGTATCACCAACAAACAAAAAAAAGTAAATCTTTCGAATCTGGGCTGACACTGAAAAACCCCAAAAGCTTTTTATAGCTTCTGAAAACCTGAGAACAGCCAATGAGGTGTTGCTGGATTTGTCTTGGCAGTACCAGTGATACTGGATACATGAAGATTCTTTGATCATGAAATGAAGATTAATAAAAATATGGACCTTGAAATTCCTATTCAACGGGCTATAGCTTAAACGGCTTGAGGACTTGGACATACTCTCTAGATTGGATGCACTTTACCCCTCTTTGCTCTTCCACTTCCTTCCTTTCTTCTTCCTTTCTTTCTCCCTGACTTTGTCTGGTATCTGGGCAACCAAACCTGACAGACCTACCGACCTACAAGGCTTCAACCAAGAGCAAAGGACTGAAGAATAGAAGAAAACTTCGTATTTTTTTAGAAACATGGGCTACATCGATAAAATTAACCAGAAAGATTTATTAAATAAGTTAGGTGCACTTGGTTTCACAGATGATGCTAGGGAGTTGATGAAATCTTACTTATCCGATCGTAGACAATTTGTTAGCTATAATGGCTTCCAAGAGACCTACTTGACACCTTCTGGAGTTCCTCAGGGGTCCAACCTGTTACCATTACTGTTTTTGATATTTATTAATGACCTCTGTGACTCAGTTGAATGTGAACGCCTATGCTTTGCTGACGACCTGAAAATTTATTCGCAGATAAATACTCCTGATGATTGTATCAAGCTACAACACCAATTAAATTTTGTGCTGTCTTGGTGTGTAGAAAACAAGTTGGACCTTAATGTGAGGAAGTGTAAAATAGTCAGCTATACCAGGAAAATTAATGTTTGCGAATATCCGTACTCTATTGATGGGTATGTGCGAGAAAGATGCTCTGATGTACGTGATTTAGGTATAATCTATGATCAAAAGTTAACTTTTAGTCAGCATATAAATAAAAAAGCATCAGAAGCATTGGCGGCTTATGGTTT